ACGCGTTTGTAGGACGGGGACCACACGTCATGCGGGTGTGGCGTCCTCTTAAAGAAAAATAGTTACCAACAGCCAAGTAGCTTAGAATAAAATACAATATTTAAAGCGTCTCAGAACTAGTCAGAAGTAATGAAAAACTTAATGTAATGGAAAAAAATTTAAAACAACTTGTCAATAGTCTTAAACATATTATATAGTATATCAAATAATAAGCTGCAGAGAGAATATGTCTAAAACTATAGCAGTGACAGCAATATTATAAAGATCAATTCAAAATACGTAAACAAAGGTGTGAGATCGAAATTATTTTTATTAATATTTTAACCTCATAAGTGGTTTTTACACTGTGTAAAATGAAGAAAACATGAGGATTCAAAGTAATAAACTTATGTCTTGAAAATTTAATTATAAGCGGGTAATTAAATCATTCCTTGTCCAAAGTCACAGTTTTTTTTGTGACAATTTGTAGCAGACGACATTTGATATTCATACTCAGGTATAATAACGATTTTTCCTCAAACAAGTATTGTTATTTTTTTAATAATTCAAAATATATTAATTGTTAAATTTGAAACATTCCAGCTTTACTTAAATGATCATTTTTTATTTACAACGATATATTTTATAGTGTTAGGTATATATTCCGAAATACCTACAAAATTATTGATTTAAAAATGAATAACAATGGTAAATTATATAATCGTATAACAATAGTAATCATTATATTAAACTATAAATTATAATATATGCGATGCGTTAGAAAAAAAATAACATCCTATGTTAGCTGTAGACACATAAATTACTTAGTAGTTTAAATAAATTATAAAATACCTTTAAAATACACTGTTTTCATTCAGAATGTTTTTTTGTGTATGCAATGATTTATTATTTAATTCAAATTAAATACATTCACTACAGTAACCAAATTAATGACGAGTTGCACTCTAAATCAATTATACAGCACCGCGAATTCAACGGATTTTATTTAACCTATTGTTAAGTAATATTTATTTATTATATTAATGTTAAAATAAAATAAAACAATTAATATTCGTTTATTATATGATATCTATTTTTCGATAAAAAATCAGTGGTTAATACATATAACAATAGTATAATATCGAATCTATATTCATATGCATAATTTATTTGTCAATTTTAGACTATAAAAAATGTAGATTATGGATTTTAAATAATATATTATGCTATGTTCTTAGCAGAAATTATTACATGTTATCCATTTATTATTTTAACTATGAAATATTGAGCATTTGTATTAACTTTTTTCCATCTTTTAATGGATTATTGAAGTATTTAATTTAGATATTTGTACCAAGATGTTTCAAACTTTTAAGTGTATACTAATCTGAAATTAATACTTATTATTCTACTATTAATATATATTATACTATAATATGTAGTTATAGATATGTTACCTGTCTAATTTAAATACATATTTTATAACATAATATTATGTATAATGTATATGATGTATTGATAAAATAGTATATAATTGTTACAATATGGAATTTAAACAAGTTCCAAAAATTGAGTTCCAAAAAAAATGTTAATCCATTTTACTGATCTACAATTTATTGTTTGTACCTAATAGTTTTCTAGAACTATTAAGAATTCGTAATTATTACTTCTTTTATCCACTGTCTATTCAATAGTGAAACTTTAATAATATGTACTGATGTACCTACATAATACTTTTATAGGAATATAATAATTTTATGATACTGGCCTCTGGAAAAACAATTTCAGAAGGCGAAAAAAGCACAGTGGTAAAAACAAAGCATAATGTTATAAAACTTCTACTCGGAGTATAAAAAAAAACCATTTTTTTTTTATCTCGATTAAATTCCAATTCTCTTTTATCACAGCATTTTATGCCAATTATTATATTATATAAATATATATACACTTCTATAATATACTAATCCAATGTTTCGTAAAGAGATAATTGGGTCTTATCGTTATTTCCCTATGTTATTATATCTATATTGATTCGTTAAATATGTATTAGGGTTGTATGATAATAAATCATAAAATAATGAAAATCGCAAATTGTTCTCTCTATCATAATATTTACACCCCTCGTATAATAGTTTCGTATAATACATCCCAACTCTTGCAACCGGCGTGTATAATCGATGGGCGTGGTAATCCGTTTTAATAGTATAATACGGAGGGCTTATAATACAATTACGACGAAATGACTTTTTCTTTTGAAAATACATGGATTTATTTAGTGATAATAATAGAATAGACAAGCAATCGTGTTATAACTGATTTATTGTTTTATTTCTTTTTTTTATCATGACAATAATTATTATTGTGACAATATATTTTATGGATTATGGTGCATAGACAATAATCTAAATGTATTATTCTGAAGCAAGGATGGGAGAAGCTCAATGTCTATTGATAATAATTAATATTTATAAAATACATAACATATTATGTAGAATGGTAGTGAGTCCTATAACGACCTGTAACTACTAATTATTAATATTATGAATTGTAACTTGTTTACTTGTTACTATTGTTGTAGTAATAAATTATTTTTAAAGAGTTTAATAACTGACTATTAAGTTCTTGTTAAGGTGATATTGTAGTTACATAAATAGTTCTCTTAAATCACTTCAACACATGACTTACACTCTAAACATAATGTATTCGGATAAAAATCACTCCAAAACCTAATAATTTAAGCGAAATATTCAAACTACCCCTACCTCACGATTCTTTCACTAATTAATATTGCTCGAATTATATTTTTATTATTAATATCTGTTTAATTTGTTGTGTGATTTGTATTTTATTAAAAATTGTACAAAACCTGTGTAATAATGATTTTTATTAAACATCAAAATGCCTTGCCGATTTTAAGTCGAGATATCTGTGATTTTAAGATTTAACCTGGAAGAATTTGTAATTATTGTCGGATGTCGGTTGCGTATTTGAGTTCAGAGGGGATGGAGTGACCGAGGGGACTAAGGCGTTGGTTTTATTGCACACTGTCGCTCTCTGGGTAGGCAACGAGACGACAAGACATACAAAAAAAAAAATTGAGCACAAACTGTGTGTGTGTGTTGTGGGGGGGGGGGGGGGGGGGGTAGAGGAATTGTTTTCAATTTTATCAATTACATATACATTTATATAAAAGCATTAAATTTTGAATAACTATCATTTGAAATATATATGGCGATATGGTTTCAATTTAAAATAGTTCACTATTAATAAAAACAAATGTCTTAATATAACTTAAAGTCATGCTGTACATTTATTATTTATATATTTGGACGATAGTATAAAAAAAGGTTGGGTAGGTGTCTGACAGCCTTCCTAAAATACGCCGCTGTCGGATATCGATTTCATTATTCAACCCAATATTATTGTACAGACATTTTAATGTAATATAATCAATAAGCATATTTTATCTAAAAATGTTTGTATGTAATAGTTAAAACTCGTGCACAAAAACTACAAAATTATTAAATAAGATAATATGAATATTTATATATAACCAGCAGAAGAGAGGTTTTACTTTATAGTAAAATAATTCTGATAATAAATTGTATAAATCACTTAAACTATAGTCATTTCAGCTTATAAGCAATTTTTCCGGGTATATAAAATATTACAAATTAAAGATGCTCATAACTATTGACGTAGGTATTAAGTATTAACAACGTGCAAACGTCTTTATTTATGTTTAATAATAGCTTATTATCAAATCATACACATTATAATATATCCAACTATGAACTCGAACCAGTAAGAACAAGAAAAAAAAGTGATAGCAAATAAAAATGTACAAGACGAAATTCCGGATTCTACAATTGAAATTAAATGCTACATAAAATAAATAATTTTTCAAAAGTTAGGTATGGATGTATACAATCGACTTTTTCAGATGCAAGTGAAATTTTAAAAGATTTATTTCTCATGTCACCTGAAACACTAAATAATAAATATGAAAGTATAAAAAGAAATACCTACCTGAGTTTCATACATATAATATTGTTTGCATGTCGCTGGCTGGGTGGATGTCGAATGATATGGATGTTAATAAGTTAAAAAGTGAGTGCTTCCAATTTAGTAATAGTTTAGACGAATTACTTGAGAGTATTTAATATTACGACAGTATCCATAACATGATAACAACGATGTGTAATTATTAATTCTTCGACATTAACACAAAACAAATATTATAAAAGTCAATAAATAGGTAGGTAATTTAAATTTATAATTTTATAACAGATTTTATTTTATATTCAATAAAAATATATGATTTGCATTTCTGATACCTATTATATTTAAAATTTCTAACTATATGTAACTAATTATAATTGAATTATACAAAACATAATACCGTAAAAAATAAACGTACTCGGTAGATAATAATATACAAATATGGGAGTCATTTTTCAACACAACGAAGAGTTTAAGATTCAATCACAATTATTAACAATCAATGTACCATAAAAGTATAAAACCCACGTTATAGATAGAATAGATAGAAAGGTGGTTAAATACTTACCTATTGTAGTTTATGCAAGACATAATATTTATTTGTAAGCGAATTTACCAGATGCGTCATTTTAAGAAGGGGTCAGTACGAATCGATAGTTTTAATTACTCTGAGCAAAAATGTACCTTTTTCTTTATGTTATTAAAGAAAAAAAAATACTCTTTACTTGTTTGGACTTCAACTCCTTTCCTTATATTCTATAAAAAAATTAATTTGTGTGAAGAAAATATATTTTCTCACATTGGTGATTATAAATAATTATAATAAATGATTATCGCCAACAACTGAATAATAGATAACTAGTATAGATAATCCTTAACAATATAAATTCAATGAGTTCTTACTGTCTACATTCGAAATTCAATAAACGTATAATGTATTGTTTAGGACTATATAGGATACATGTTATAGATAATTTCTATTGCCAGCCGTAACTTATTAATTTTGAATTGATACTCTAAGCTAGTCTATAACATAAAACTATGGTTACATTTAAACAATAATATGTTTTTACTAATCTTCATTGTTTATTGTTGATACATCAACGTCCTTACAGTAATCAAAACTTAACTTCTTAATAATGAAATACTTGTCGTCATTAGTGCAAAGTACTCAATACTTTTGTATCATTATTTTCATGCTTAAACTTAGTACTTACTTCAGTTGGAAATTCGTGACTTTTTAAAAGTATTCTTATTCGTGGAAAACGTCGAATACATTTCGGAGGTGTTGATTTTCCAGTTACTACAAGAATTTATTATCACCCTCGGTGGTGCGTATACAAAAAAGATACTTTGATTTACCCCTCATCCCTGGAGAATACGCCTTGTCCCCTGAGTCATAAGTAAATCCGAGAGGTCTAGTCGTAAACAAATAATAAAAAAAACAATCTGCAATTGTTTCGTATGAATAAATAATGTAAAATATTAACTGTGAGTTTAAAAAAAACGAAAATGTAAAAAAGTGCGAGACAAATGTGATCTAAAATGTAGTTTTCAATGTTTTGATAGTGCATTGTTTATATGCATACATTATATAGCACCACACTATTGTATTCGTTTGATACTCTACACATTCATGTGGGTAGGTGGGTACTATACATTTTGAGCCGATTACACTTTAAACATTTTAAAATATAAAATCTACAAGCAACAACAATGATGGCCATCTCGATTAGAAACCTAGGTATAATACAACAACCTATAATACATAATAGGCACCTGCCATATATTATTATGCAGTTATAACATCGTTGGACCCGATTGAGCTTTATAATCTAAACGAATAACCACCGACTCACGAATAATATCGTATAATAATGTATTAATAAACAACAACGTAAGAATATACTGTAATAATGGATTGGAATTTTCAACCGTCCGTCGTGGCGTTGGGTTTGTCCACGTAGAGTTTTGGTGGCATGGGCACGACGTATTGGCCGGACGGCGAGCGTGCTGACAGCGATAAGGCGGGCAATTGCACGTTGTACGGCGGAAGTATCGATCCCGGCTGCTGCTGTATGATCGGCGGCAGTTGTGGAATGTTGTTCTGGAACAAAACGGGTGCCTGGGCCGAAAACGGGGCCTGGGGCGCAAACGGGGCCTGCGGGATGTACGGGGCCTGCGGGACGTATTGGGCCTGCGGGACGTACGGGGCCTGCGGGACGTACTGCGGCGCCTGAGGGATGTACTGTGGGGATTGTTGCACGTATTGTGGTTGCAGATGGACGACTGGTGGCAATGGGTCGGCGGTGGACACCAAAAACGGAGTGCCGGCCACGATGCCCGGGCCGCTGTCGGATCGCGTGCCGTATAGCTGATTGTTGACCGCGTCGCCCGTTTGACCGCCGGCCGTGTGGTAACCGTCCCCGTTACCGTACTGGCCTTGTTGACCGACTGCGTTCGTCTTCACCGACGAATCGTGGTAACCCCCTCCGAATGCCTTGCCTTCTCCGTCTCTGAATCTGTAAATTATAAAACCAAAAGTGTTACTCTTATAGCGTCTTCCTTAGGTTGACATTCGAAAAACTAATGTTGCAGAGTATAAACTTCCCCGAGCAATCCCCACAAAAATAAGGGTTTGTGGATAATATTATATGAATGTTGGGCTCGGGTTGGGTGTCAAAAAAACATAGAAATAAAACAATATCTTAAGAAATGCATTTATTACTTAAAAACGACAAAAATCACCCGAAAATCGCAATTAAAATTATTTTAGTTTTGTGAATACGATCCAATTATTATTATTTTAATATATATTTTATAAAAAAAACAATGAGCGTGCTCGTGTGAAATAAATTATTATTAAATTGATTGGTGGTCGTGTACTCGTGTGACGATCCGATTATTATGATAAATCTGAAATGTACTAACTTAAAACAAAATGCCATGAAAAATTCGTTATTTCAATAATATGCGATAGAACCACATTCGAAAAAAGAATGATGCCACCAATCGAAACAAATATGCAAAACCATTGAAATATTAGTCCTAATTAATAATTATTATAAACTATTTATTGTCAATTTCAATTTTCAATACATTTTATTAAAATCTAATACCTAATTCTCCAATTGATTTAGTTTTTGGTAATATATTTATATTTATTTTTAAAAGTATATTATATAACATTTAAATAACACCGAAACGTGTTCAATAAACTACTTAAAATATTATGGTTTAAGTAAAACTGCAATTACCTAAATATTATACATTCTGAAGTTAAATTTAAAATTATTGGATATTAGCTTTTTAATGTATAGTTAATATATTTTAATATATTAAGATATTTAAATTACCTATGTAATGTACAAAGTATAAATCATAAACTCATAAGTTGTATGTATAATTAGTGTTAAACATTTAAATACATTTTGACTCTGATATTTTTTATTTTATTCCTTCATTTGAACATCTATTGCATGTAAAATACATTTTAAATGTCTATTTTACCAAAAAATATTTATTTTCGTGCATAGCTAAATCTTGTGAAACAAATGTGACTATACAGCACATATCCATTTATATTATATTTAGATAATACACTATAATTTTAACAACATTATTAAACATTGAACGTATACCTGAACAATAGTTTTATAGTATCTTATTTAAACAACGCTTCATCAATATTAGTATAATATGACGTATTCCACTTATATTATACCTTTGATCTTTCGCACCATATTGAATCACTCCACCGTGTCCAAGACCATCGTCATAATACGTAGCTTTATTACCGCTTTCATTTTTTTGATACGAAGTACTGAATCCAGCAACTTGATGTCCCTTGTTCCGTCCATTTATACCACCATAAGCTCCACCTTCCACACTTGTAACTCCACGGTCGTTGACACCTTTAATTTAATTTACTCATATCGTCATTATGTGCATACATCAAACTAATGAGTATGTACAATATTTTATTAAGCTAAGCTACCGTACAAAATTCAATAGTATTTCCAATACTTATAAAAACTCACCGCCATAAGTATTGCCGACGTCATATCCGTTTAGTGCGCCGTTATTGTCTCGGTAGAACCCATTCTGGTCTCGATATCCGTTGGCATCGATTTTGTTTCCACCGAAAGCCTGTAACGCTTGCAATCCGTTTAATGCCAAATTACTGCCAGCTGTAGCATATCCCTGGGGTACTTGATCCACGCTCCAGACTCCTGCCGGATTGATGATGGGTGGTCCTGCAGGCTTTAACTGAACAAAATCACCACCCATCACTGTGTCCAGGGTTAAATTTATATAAAACGCCTGGACTGCCAATCCGATTCCAGTTAGATGTAACGATTTATTAGATGCCGTTGAAACTTTTGTCATTATCAACTACCTGTTAACCAATATTAATTAAACATTTTCTACACTCGAGTTTTTAACGTCACCTTTAGAACGTGATTTATACTACAAGCTGGATAATTATTCCCAGTAGATTGAGTGTTCGTTAGCATATTTTTCGCTGTACAAATTTATAATTGTCTTTAAATAAACTCTTTACTTTCAATTATATTGTCAATATTTTTGATAACCGATTTTCATAGTTACGTCTTCTTGATTATAGGATTTTCTACTGTATGCACTATAATAAATTGAGTAGTATGGTTAAGTACTACGCATGTTAAGTACGCCCGCTGTGTTTGTCCATAGTCCATCCAATTGGAGTAAGTTGCCATGGTTACCAATACTATTGAGGATCTTATAAAAAATATTACATTATTTAACTCGCATTCCTATAGAGGCTAAAGTGCTTGTACCTACAATTATTGTGTTTAACATGTGTGTTACTATTTATTTGTTATTTAACAATAAATTTACTTAAATTTTTTATAATATAAATTATGGCAACTAGATACTTCAAGTATATTTACTACGACTTATTTTAATTTTCTTTACGTTTTATTCATTTAATTTAAACCCATAATGTTAACTATTGGTTATAATAAGATTATAAAATAGAATACCTATATGGGTATGAAGATAGTATAAGATAAGCAGTGTGTATAAGTATAGGTTGGTATAAATAAATATGAGCACGAATAATGACCTATTATGTTCTTATATAGATAAGTTAAGATATGCAAAAATTTGATAGAATAAAAAAATGACTTATATAATATTTAATAGAGGCAGAAAAGATTATATTTTAATTGATTAAGATTAATCATTTCAAAGTTCACGTTATTTTTAATTTAATATTATATTGCAATTTTAAAGTTTACTCTGATGCACTTTGTATTTATTGATAATTATTTAATTTTTGTTTTGTATTGATTTTCTGTTTCATAGATGAAATAAACATTTATTTAAGTAGATACTGTTTACCTACTATTAACGAACTTAATTTATTGGTACAATTTTAATAGCCATTTAAATATTTAATATGATTTTAACAATATAATTATTGCTACCTCATGTATTTAATGCTATCTGTAATATTACGTTACATGTCTATTATAGTTGTTTGTTATTTTTTTTTATAATACCTATGTCCTTAAATAAGTTCAAGTACCCTTTAATTACTGTTTATAGGTTTATATTATTATATATTCATACACAATTTTTTTATTCTAATATTAATAGCGAAATACGAGTTTCAAAAACACTTTGCATGCAGCTTAAATGAATATCTTTTCTTTAAAAATATTTATTATACGATTAATATTGTAACTATTATTTCCAAAGAGTAATAAATGTGACAAGCTCAAATCTATAAACAATAAATTACAGTATATTATAAGTAAACACAATATTATCATTGAAGAATAAATTGTATACTTGTTATTTTAATAAAAAATAACACATTTTTAAGACTTAAACTTTACACACACATTTTAAATTACATTTTTTAACACAATATACAGTTTTCGTTACAAACATTCAGAGGAATTTTGGAAAGTAAACCCAGAAAAGTGTAATATTACTGTAGAATATAAGTAGGTATTTAATTAAAAATAGTACCTATGAATTCACAGACATGTATAGAAATAATTTAGAATTTGCCTATAATTGCTATGCATGTCTAGATAGTAGGGACTCACTATTATTTGAGGTAGGTACATGATAAATTAAATTTAAGGTCACGGATTAATCATACGGAACGTTCAGCTACTAATTATTTTAATCACAATTAGAAACCGTAAGTATAAGTTTATCGTTATATAGTCATCGAATATAAATATATATTAGTTTTGAATAAATATAGTTCTAAAGATTTAAAATGATTTTTAGTTTTATTACAGTCAACTGTTTTAACTATGATATGGTTAAATAATATATTATATAAAATGATTTTTAAAGAGTGGCGAACTATTTAAAAGTTTTTTTTTTTAACTGTCCATGTCATTTTTATTTAAACGACAAAATGTCTTTATAAATACCTAAAATACATTGGGGTTGAATAGAATACGATAATTTATAAGTAATATAGTAATAATAATTACTTAAATATAACTATACAAAAGTGTAAATATTTTGTTTTCAAAAATTAAAACGTTTAGGAAATACTAGAAAACAATGCGTCAAACATTATAGATAAGTACAATTAAGGTACATGCTATAGAATTACAGTATGAATACGAGGTTGGACTCTCTCTGTTAATTGTTTATTGTATACCCAACCGAATAGAATTGTGAAAATATTAAGGCCAGACGAATCACACGAGGACAGATTCTTGCTTTTTATAGTACTTATGTTCAGACAGATATGTGAAACCATAAGGTCAAACGGTTCTTCAAATCAATGGAAATATCTGAGTTGGGGAGAAGCGTAGATAAAATATACATAGGCACATATAAAAAACGTTATCATTCAATACCTTGGTACAATATTTCAAAACAACTGTGTATTTATATCTACTAAATATTTTGTACGCAATTCGACTGGAAACAATAATGAAATTATAATTTCCTCGTTGTTTAATTATTTAGTAGGGCGATTGAATAAAATAATACATTAATAGACATACATCAATACATTTGTTTATGTATTTCAAATAATAGGTATCATCATATTATAAGTATTTCCAAAAACAGTTCTTAAGTTTGTTATTTATACTGATAAATGGAATCAACACATCAAAGAACATATCGCATGCAAATATTATGCAATATATTTCATAATAATGCTATATATCGGTATTTACTATGGACTAATGTGTTTTCTAATTCATATAATGCTTCCATATTGATGATTCAGTAGAAAAAAAAGTGTTGAAACAAAAATAATGTTAATCTAGTGGAAAACAAACAAAAGTCGGTTTATTGTTTTACAGCTTACCCGGGTAATGTCGACCGTTCGCTCTACCAAGAACAATTCTGATTATATTACTATACATTAGCGTGAAAAATAAAACAATCACGTAGATAGGTACAAAGTGAAATATTAATTAAGTGGAATAAAAACAACTTACAATAGTTATACACCGATCGAAAAGACTTATAGTCGCACACCACACCGAATGAATTCACCGACTTTCGTGTTAAAAATAACACTAATATAATAATATTATCGTCGTATCGCGTAATATCTGCAGCTGTAGGTATCACTCGCTTAACACTATCGCGGCTAACCGCGTTTCAAGCCAACTCTGTCTCGCCAAGTAAATCGTCTAACGCGAAACGTTTTACTAAATTCATATAATACACACAAAAACACTCATTCGTTTTGGCTAATGCCTACACCTAAATCGTTTTTACAGTTTAATGGTGAATTACCGGGTTCAGGGTCAATTATTGAGCATAAATCGGTTGCGGCGGTGCATTGTGTCCGACCGCCAAGTGAACACCGAACAGTAACCAACACGGTATACATATATTGATATATTGAGATATTTATATACCTATACATATATTTATTTAGGCATATTGGCACCTATATATATATGTACAGGTACAAAGACACACGGTTGTACTGGGTACAGTGTATATTGTGATCGGCGTGTTTATGATTATAAGGAACATTATTATAACCTTCAATTACTGACGTGACGTCGATTCGCATTCTCGACAGTCTTCAGAATCTAACTACTGATACATTTCAACGCTGATATTTAAACCTCTCACCTGTATGCCTATGTATGTGTTATTATTTGCATATTATATTATATTTATGTGGGTACACAGCTGTAAATGAAGTGAAAAAATATAATAAGTCAGTACATATTGTATTTTTATTTTATTTTGAGTTCGTAATAATCATGAGTATCTAATATATAAAAATCTATTGTCACAATGGAAAATGTTTGTTACCAAACTCCTCCGAAACGGCTTTACCGATTTTAATGAAATTTTGTGTGTATATTGAGTAGGTCTCAGAGAGTGGTGTAAAGTATTTTTCATACCCCTAGGTGTAAAGGGTGGCTCAAACAAAATATTTTTTAATAATATTTAACGATTTAACGTGTAAATTGAATAATAATAATAATAATACTCACCGAGCGTACAACAACACTATGGTTACCGAATATTAGTATCAGTATCACTTTCAAACTATAAAATACATATAATTGACATTAAAAAAAACAGAGCATTGCAATAATATAAGGAGTTTTGGTAAGTTTTGATGGAATATTTTTGTTTTTAAAAATGCCTGCAATCAGACATACAAACTTAAGTTGCGGAACTCGCAATGATGCAACAAGTCAAAGATATACAATATCAAGTAAAACACATAATGAGATGGACGAAAAGATCAGGTTGCAAGTTACTGGAAGCCCGCGAGTTGTCGTGCCATAAAATATGTGTATAAACGTGTACAATATGTCAATATATATATTATAATAAATATAGTATATACGTTATATACAGCGTTTATTTCAATAAATAACTCATTTTCTTAATTTTTTAGTGGAAATTAATATTGTTTTTTTTTGTTTTTGGTGGTTGTCAATGGTTCATAGGGTAGAACGGGTTTAAGCATGCATCAAATCGAATCTTCGCACATCGCCTACCAAGGAGGCTGAGTTGGACTCATAGCCGCTAATCGGAGTGTCCACAATCAAAATAAAAAATAAAATAAAAATAAAACATATTATTCATATAATCATGTAGATAGTAATATAGTATGCACCAAGCGGGGTCTGCCTGATAAATATTCTACTCGTATTATCACCATCAAGTCTCCTACAAAGGATGGCATTTTAACGGGCTACAAAGTGCATGGGATCAGCAAGTATATACATACACATACATATAAATTGGTTTATTTAAATGAATGACAAATGAAAAGTAAAAAAAAAATCAACATTTAGTACTTCAAAATATTTTATAATATGTTTATTGAAATTTTATCTCATCTCTCATTTAGTAAATCAATCAATTATTTTCGACATAGCCTAAAAATTATTGTTTTTAATATTATATAGGTTCCAGATAAATCAAAACTCAAATCATTAATAATGTATTGTAATAGCCAATAGGTATTCAATATATTTTTAAAAACTTTAAGTATCTACCAAGTATTTATTTACAGCGATTTATTGAAATTTAAGGGTCCCACTCATACAACTTTTTTAGACCCTGAAATCTTGTATAAACATAAGTCCATTACTAAGTAACCAGGGCTTAAAGTTGCTCAAAATGGAAAATAGTATTGTATACTTATTCACTATTGTGTTCTATATACTATTTAGTATTTTCTACGTTCCAAGTAAACATTAATAATTTTTATTATTTAGAAGTTCTTAATTTATTACCTTATCGCAAGTAATAGTAAAGGGAGGATTTTTGTGTTTATTATCACTTCTAATTTCTAAATTAACACACCATATTATTAATTCAATATACGTGCACATTTCTCATTCAAGCTAGACAATTTTTTTTATCCAAACTTGAGTAGGTACATTTCTCCTTATTCAGAGTTCAGATTTTAAATTGTGTAATAAATAAAACAAAAAATTGAATTATAATTCATAAGTAATAAACTATATAAATATAATTTAAATATTAATTGTATTTGCATTAGGGCTTACATTAAATTATTCATATCTAAATTAGTTTTCTTAGCACATATTTTATAATAACAAAATAAAATAAAATAAAAATATAATATGTTTAATAATTGTAAAATATAATTAAATTAAATTAAATTAAATATAATAAAAGTAGGTATATAATCAAGTATAAAGATTAGTGAGATGATAAAAGGAATTAAACTAAACAGGTATGTAATTTATGTCATAATATGTCTGCCAAACCAAAAAATATTAAGTACAATAACTTTATAAAACTAAAATGATACCATTTCAAAAGTAAATGAGTAATTTTTTTAACAGAGACAATTTTTTGTTTAAATTCGAGGCTTGTGCTTATACAAGCATAGGTATCTTTTGAATGCAATTTTAATAAGGAAGTTTTTATGTGTGGTCAGTTTAGTAGGGACTAGGAGGAGGGATAAATCTCCTTGCGTTAAACCCACTATAACCCTTCAAGTAACTAACGTAACTTATTGTTCCAAAACACTGTAAACTTAAAATCTCCGACAATGTACATTACGTAGGACGTAGGTACTTATATATTGTGTTAAATATTTTCAATTATACTTCGTTTTAATGACATGTTTTATGAAACGTAATTACTTAATATTAATTAACGTAATATTGTTTCTTGTACTATGTTATTATTGTTCAAATGTTATTGATATTCAATTGATGTATTTTTTTAGGGTCAATGTATTATTATTAATTTAATACATTTCATAGTTAAAGCCATATCATATTTTTTTTTTATTATAATTAGATTTTACTATAATTACGTCGAACAAAATATTTTATTAATATAGTGTTATATTACTGTAGAGCAAGTAGGTAATAATGTCTTAATTATTTAAAAAGTATAATAAAAGAGTTTAAAGGTAGTTAAATATATGTATATATGTAGTTATTAACAGCAACCTGGAGCAAACCTTGGTTTTTGTTCTGCGATACACAAAGCAGACGTTTGAATGTCAACATCTTCTCTAATCAACATTTCTCTGGAAATAATTTATTGAAAATATAGTAATTGTACAATCGTAAATTAATCAATATTCACAATGGCAAAAATACCATACCTAAACACATAGGTGTGCTCAGGAGTTTTGAAGGAATAGGGTCATTTTTTAAAAATATAATATTATCAATATACATTATGAATTAAAATTAAAATTATATGTAAGTAGTAAGTACATATATATTTGTTGAGTATCGATGGGGGGGGGGGGGATTGACCAGAGTTTGCTTCTGCCTAAACACAATAATTACAATTTTGTTTACATTTTTTTTTTTTTGTAAAATTGCTCAAAAGGAAATTTAATCACTAAATATTCTAATACTTTACGAAATGTTACTAATGGACATTCTATGTTGGTAAAAGGTTCAATGGTTCATAATGAAATAATTGGTAGAAATGCGTCTATAATTATATGTATCGCTTCGTATACATATACGGATAAGAAAAAATCATTCTCCCCAATTCTTCTTAGCCTCTTGTGTCAGCACATATTGTATTTTTATTTTATTTTGAGTTTATAATATTATTAACACTTTACTAACTCATCGGGGTAATATAATTCTATCATTTACCTTAGGCAGGTTATCAATAGTAATATATTATATTGATATATTGTTATAATATATTATTGTAATCAATAAAATAAATATATTATAATAGATGCACCTATGTACTTATGACTATCATATTGTAAAGTTATAAAAATCCTACGCATATATCCATAAATGTTTTTTTTTTAAATTATACATTCAACTATGTATAAACAATAAATTTAAAAAAATGCATACCTGCATAGTGTAACCAATGCGTTATTAATATTCGTTCCAAGTTTGGAACTAGTTTCAAAAAATACTGCGTTGTAATCTTTAGCTAAAAGTTCACCGTGATTTGTGGACACGCACGTTAGTCCTTGCAACTCTGCTTCTCGTCTTAAATCAAGTTTGTTACCGCAAATACAAATTGGTAACTGTTTATCAGATACTTCCTATAGGCAAATATGTTGGCATTATGAATTAACATTATTAATTAGGTGACATAGTAGGTGATTTACTTCATTATAGCTTGGTAAATATTCGTCATTAAAATTATTATTGTTTTAATAAGATCTGATAATTCTCTTTATTATTTATTTTTTTCAAAAACCACTTAATCTTAAATATTGAACTTAAATGTACACTAACAAGTAACAAGTAACTACAGGTAGGTACAATATCTAAATTCTAAAAAATAAACTATTATACAAATGCCACTTAATTATTAGACAAATTTGTTCCTTGAAAAATTCTGAGTTAGGTATTTAATCATAATTTGTAAGTGAAATATTTTTCCAAATTACAATTATTTAAAATTTTTTTTCCAAATGTAGTACCTATATAAATTACTATCAATAAGCAATGCTGTATGTGTTATGAACATATTTTAAAAATATATCAATTAATTTTATTAGAAAAAAAATATTTATATTTTTAATTTATGTTTTAATTTATTAAACATAAGTCGACCATATTATGGAATACTCGTAAATAAGGGCAATCTGGGTCCTACTCTTGCATTTGTTGTCTTAACCTAACCAATGCGAAACATAGAAAATGTGAGTTCAGCAGTTCACATTTAGCTTCGTTAGTTAAAAAATTAGAGTGAATCTATTTAAAACGAAACTTAATGGTATAAGAACATTATGTGTGTTTGAATGTGGGTTTTTTCTATAATTCAATTTTTAAGTGAGTTATAAGTATTTTTAATTTGCACAATATTTTACGAGCTAAATACTCAAAACTTGCTAAAAAATTGAAGTATCGTAAAAAACACACTAACAAACACAGATAATGTTTTTATCATTAAATTTCATAATAGGTCGATTCAATCTAATTTTTAAGCTAACGAAGCTAAACGTGATCTTCTGTGAGTAAATATTTTCTATATTGCTCAGTTATGAGACTAAAACAACAAACGCCTGTGTAGCGTATTTTTAAGATCTTTTATGTAGATGATTTCTTAATAAAATATTTAAAAAAAATTATGAGTATAAAAACAGTTTTGAATTAATAATTTATATATAATATACGAGTACCATTCTAACATTTTGTTGTCTAGATTGTATTTATTTTAATTATTTTTAAGGGGCGTCTCTACTTAAAAACAATTATGCATAAAGTTCTAAAATTTTCACAAAATTAAGTTAATTAACGTCATCGAATTTTAAGTTTGAAAAAAAATATAATAGACCCATAACTTTTGAGAATAATAATCAAATTATAAGCAGAGTATTTAAAATATTTGATGACTTAAAAAAACACTTTAAAAAATAAAAATAAATAGTAAATTATTAAAAAAATATAAAATAAACTAAACATTTAACCAAAATAGTTTTCTTAGAATCTTATCATTGGCTTATTGATTTGATTAGTTCAATTACAATATTGGTATTTAAATTTAACATTTAAACATACCAATTTATTACATAATTAATATTTATTAATGATGATTCAAAAGGTGTTCTTATTATATTGTAGTTCTTTTAAAATAATTTTAACTATCATAAGTTATCGTTACGTATTTTATATTTTATATTTCTTAATAATAATTGTTTATAATTGTTCATTTAATTCAACACTGTTAACAATAATTTAAAAAATAATACAACATACTAATGCAGTAATGTAGTTATCTTTATTGACTAGATATTTAAATACATTAATAACTATGCTCATTTCTTAAAAAATCATTTTTACCGTTATCGATAAAACCCATTGACGAATATTGATGAAAGATCTTTCATTAGTTACATCATAAAGTAAAATGACTCCATCTGCTCTCCGAAAATATGCTTTTGTAATGGAACGAAACCTTTCTTGTCCTTTATACATCATACATTTTTTAAACATAAATCAAAAATAATATATAATCAATTATTATATACAACTTAATTTATAAATTATAAAAATAATAATGAGTTCCAAATTCCAAATGATATACTTAATTTATTTATTAAAAACTTCTGAATCTTGATAACGAATTAGTTAGAGCTTTGAACATAAAAGTATTCAAATGTATTCAAATAATCTTCATTACTCGAAGGCTAAATGTTTTAAATTTTCAAAATTATCAAAGTATGGGTTTCCTCAATAAATATAATTTTTTGAATTAAACACCTTTTGAATATCTATTCTGTTTTAATCGTGCCAAACTTTACCAAAATATTGAAAACATGTTGTGAATTAATAAATAATATCCCCACATTTCAGATTTTGATGCCAAGTGCATTTTTTTGTGTGCTCTAGTGTCTGAAATAACACATTTCAATAACATCATTCCATTAATGTAATAATGTAACAGATAAAGTTATTTTTCGAACTGTTCTCGGTTTTTCGATTCGTAGAGTACTTTTTAGTAATTTTTTGTGCATGTATTTATATATTCAAAATATTATTTCAAGATATTTTGTTAGGTTAAAATGTTATATGTAATGCTTATATTTCATAATTCAACAGGTATAAAACAGTTAAGCGTGAAGATATTATATAATTTAAAAGTATTTTAATTGTATATTTTTGTATATTCAAGATGAATAGTACATTAATAACACCCTAAGATGATGTTTCTCATTGATAAAAACCATCGCAGATGAGTCATTATTGCTAATTTTTTCAATAGAATAATTAAACTTTCATAAATAATATTTTATTTAAAATAAATATTTTATGGTATTTGTTTAAGAGTATTACGATCAAAGTATATTCATTAGTTATTCGACTGTGAAGCAAGGTCCCTCAAAATTCAAGATAAATAGCATTTAAATATTTTAAGCACGTTCATAGAACTCTTAAAATGTTGAACGCATAATTATATTATACCTATCTAGTATATTATATCAGAACTCAAGTTATCTCACATTTTTATACATCAGCAGAGATTGACATCAAAAACAGTGTCGGTTATATGAATCAAAGTTACGTAACTCAATTACAAATTGAATAATGATTAATCAATTACACATTTTTCAAATATACTTTACAATGTAAGTAACTCGTTTTAATTGGTCTGTACATTTTTTTTTATAAAACATGCACGTAACTTAATTTACATTAATACAAATAATGTAACTTTATATCATAATTTTAAACTATTTGAAATAATATTTACTCAACATTCTTTCATAATTATAATGTATGTATGTGTTAGTGTAATATCAAACTTAAACTATTTCAGTCTAGGTACTCGATTATGGTAGCCAAAGTTTTAAATGGCTGCAAGCTACAAGTGAAAGAATTAATTTACCGATGTCAATCGTATCGTGAACAAACTGTGTGTACAGAATAAGTTTATGCTGTCACTAAAGTATTTTTAGGAAACATTAATTTTTAATAATTAATTTCATTGAAAGAATTAATTTATCTTTTGAAATTTTACCAGCCGTGTCCCATAACTGTAATGCTACATTTCGATCATCAACTCTGATTGTCTTAACTTGGAAATCAACACCTGTAAAACGAATTTTGAAAACAATGATTAATTATAAACTAAAATTTCCCATTTAAATTGCTTATCTATATTAATAGGTACCTATGCTGTAACTTTTTGAACTCTCTATCTACTCATAACTCATAACTCATAAGTAGTATTCGTAGAAAAAAGTTGTTAATTATGTGTTATTTATTATTTCTTAGACTATTTTAATAATTAGTGTTGCTGCTTTGAATTATAAGCTTTTCTTAATAATTTAATGAAATTTAATTCACACCTAAAGTAGATCCAAGTTTGGTTGAAAAGGTGCCTTTACAAAAACGATGTATAAAACACGTTTTTCCAACAGCCGCGTCACCGGCAAATACGATTTTATATGTTCTTTCTGGATCACCACCGATCATATCATAACTACTTATACTCATTGCACTAGCTGGTGTGTGAAAATGCATCATATTCTGTGAATCACGACCGGATAAACTCATTTCCTCAAATTCTATCTGAAAACAATTCAAGTATTAATATTAATAAAATAAATAGCTGACGGCTACACAGTTTAAACTAGTTACATTATTTGTTTGACATTAGTTGTTAGGTATATGATATATTGATATATTACACAAGAATAACAATTTAAAACAACTTAAGTGCATAAAAATGTAAATTTAGAAGACTTATATAATATTCTTAAACAATTTTGATGTTGGTGATGCATGTAGGTGGATACAGTTATAATGCATTAGATGTCTTAGACTAACCTAACCTTTAACGAAACGAGTCAGCTACGTTAACTTGAAAATAGAGTCATGATTTAGGAAACTACCTAATAATTATCTACAGGGTAATTTTGTTTTTAATATTTATTATTTATTATTGAAAGTAAACCAAAAAATAATAAAATAATTTTGTAAAAGGTCTTCCCTTAAACTGTTTAATCATCGAATCATTAGTAATAAATTCATTTGAATAAAAAAAATATATATATACATAATAGTTAATTATAATTGTTTAAATGTAATAAAAATTAAAAGAAATAAAATTAGTTAATAGATAATCTCTCTGCTGAACAGTAAACATTTTTTGAAGTTATGATTACCTACATACAAGAATCAGAAATAACCTATTTAGGTAAAAAGTTAAATGGATACAAATATTAAAATAGTATGGTTAATAATAGACTAAAAGGTCCATGATGGATCAGGAAATAAAATAGTTATTAATTACAATAATTTATTAGGATCTTAAAAACTTACAAAAAACATAAAAAGACATTTTCAAACCTGAACAACTAGTGAAAATATCAACAACTAGTAGAAGTAAGCAAAAATCTGTCATGGAAAAATATTAAAAACATTCAACAGCATGAATGAAAAAACAGGCAGCAAAGTAGTTTGAAATAAAGTGCAATTTTTAAAAATGGTAAAGTAGATAACCACTCTGGTGTACAGTATGAATTGAGTGTAGCTCATCAGTTATATCAATGTAGATTAGGTACCGATGTATTACATTTGAACTAAATGATGAATTATTGCATACAAAAATCGATTCTTCTTGTGCATAGTTTGTCAATCTATATTACTCAGTATAGTGTATACTTTGTTATATAAGGTGTAACAGGACTATTTAACAAATTGCCATTACATTAATTATTTTATTTGTTAAATTGTACAATTACACAATGCAGTATGTTAATATTGATACTAATAATTGCTGAATTATCATACTATTATTAATACAGTAGAATAAATTATTTTTGATTTAAATATGGCATATAGGTACCATAGAATTAATTTATAATAATAGTGTACATTATATTATTTTTAATACATTAACTTTTGAGTCATTACTGACTTACAGTGGAATGGCGTAAATATATCTGGTGTAATTCTGCTATGTGAAGTGGCAATACCTAGCTTTATATGAATCTAAATATATTTAAAAAATATAATTTCGTGTGCTAAAATATAATAATATATTATATAAAAGTTAAAAGTTCTCTTGAATAATATTTTCGTATTGCAACAAAATAATTATTATCATTATTCTTCATTCGAATACCTAATTTCATCGATAATTGAACTCTAAATGAATAATTATGCTAGTATAATTGTCAGATTTATTGGTTGTACCTACCTAGTAAGAATTTAGTGACAAAACAATAGTTAAAAATCAAATTGTTTGAAAATGTTCTTGAGCTTAACGAATCATGGCAAAATTTTAACTTCAAACCGTTTACCAAAAATCATACCAATGTATTGTTATATTTTTTTTAGTATATTATTTTAATTGAATAACATCAATAACATACGTGGATCATTTAATGAATTTTCAAAACGAAAAAATTAATCCAATTCACATAATAGTCTTATCATTCATTATATGAAACACATATTTATTAATATTATGTTTTATATTCAAATATTAAAGTTATTATTGTTCACTAATTACTAACACCTTTAATGCTAGCTACTAAATGATCGTTGTTTAAAAAATATTCATGTTAAACTTTTTGTAAAAAGTTGTTTTTATATAGGTAACAGACAACAGTTAATATTATAAAGGTAAGAAAATCATTTTTATTCTATAACGATATCCAATATTGGTTATTATTTATCCAACTTACTAAACATAATATTAATTGTTTACGCATGTAATGGTTACAATTGCAACTAGGTAGGTACATATTACTAAATAATTTTTAAAGTACCGTTTTTGCTGAATGGTAAGGTGCGTTGATTGAAGATGCACTCGAGAGCTCATCTTGTAGATCCCTTTGATAATAATTGTTTGATTCTATAAGAGTAGATCGCCCGCTGTCTGAAATATGACAAAACATAAAAAGGGCGTTGTAAAATTATAAAATGTGGTTAATAAGTTAATATTAAAGTTTCTACAATTACCAATATCATCCATTAGTCGTTTTATAGTATATTGTGCACCACTTTGTTCTTCTAAAGGATCGATGTTTACTTGAATTCTATAATATTTGTGTACATGTTTATTATTTATATTAGTGAATTGATTTACTGATACATAGTTGAAACAAGTAACATACTTGTTGTTAAATTCCTCGCATTTAATTTCGTACTCAGATCGAAGTTTTTCCATTTCCGAACGAACTACTGCCAAATTAGTTTGTGTGTCAATTAATTTACGTCTCAGTTCCCTTGATTCTTCTATAGTCTCGTCCATATCGTTTTTGTCTACTTTTTTTTGGCTTAACACTGTGTTCACCTTTATACAATTCAAATTTAGCAAACACGAATCAGAATATGTATTAATAATATATACTATGAACCTTTTGAAACAATTTTAGATGTGTTTTTAACTCTATTGTTTCGGCTTCCATTTTTTTCATCAATTCTTTTTTTTCAAATTCAAATTGTTCTCTTGCTTCATCTCTGGCTTGAGCTTCAACTTTTGCAACTTGCGCATCTATTTCTTCTTCTAAGCCTCGCAGTCTTGTTAGATGTGTTTGACGCTCACTAAAAAAAACAATAAAATAAATGTTTAAACTACATTGTAAATTATAAAGATTATACATTATATATTATACTTATTCATCATACCGATTAAACATGCTTTCGAGTTTTTCATTGTCCTCATGTAATCGTTTCACGTCTTCCATCAATGAACTTAAAGCTCCTTCAAAATGTGTTATAAGTTCTGGTGATGGATTACAGTTTTGAATCTCCATGTACAAATCCGCTAATTTTTTTCCACTGAAATTATTTTTGAGTAAACATCATAATAATATAAACTATAAAAATTATAGAAATATTATTTCGTTACAGAATTCAAAATGTGTTAGATTTCATAGATCACTGAGTGGTAAATAAATTTGTGGATGCACCTTTCAAATATTTTACTAAATATCTAAATAAAACTTTCTCACTCCGTTTGAAATACCTATTAATTAGTTTTTTAATATTTCATACTTTAAAAATACATATTATACATTATATATTAGAACGAAAATTATTTTCAAATTGTAATTTATTTGCATTAAATACGGGAGGAGCCCAATTACATTGTTTTGTATCAAATAATAATTAACAAGAAAATTACAAACATTTAAGAATTAACAGACAATCATTACACAAAGTACTAACGAATTGAGGGTCCTCATTGGCAAGTTTCTTCATATAGACAATAAGGCGGTTAGTTAAATAATTACAGAGGCTAAAAGGAATGCGGAAAGGGAAAGGGTATATGGAACAAAAAGTAAAGACTCTGAAATTAACTTTAGGTAGGAGAGCAGAGGCATCAACTTTGTCATTGATAAGTTTAGAAAGAAAGGTTAGATTGCCCTGTTTCCTTCTATTAAATATGGTAGACAAACTGAGATGCTGCAACATTGGTTCATACTCATGAGGTGCGCACTTAATGCGAAAGCAGCCAATTTCAAAAATGTACGCTGAACTCTTTCAAGTTGACAATTACCATTAAGTGTGCATAGTTCCCAAATGATTATTTCATACTCCGACATCACTTAGACAAAAATTATGCAAGAGAAAAGAAGCACCACAAATACAGATATCAACATTTATATCTTCAGGCAAAAAAACGGAGTTAAAATGTTTGGAGAAAAGATCGCACATATAGTAGTTCTTTCAACACTAGGAATACCATTCAATCTAGCAGCAGATGGCATGTTGAAATTTTTTTTTATTTTTATTCACATAATCTAAAAAATATTTGAGATTCTTACAAAAGAACGTTTCAACTAGTTTATTGTAGCTTGCATGACATTTTTGAGAAAGAAACTTTACCACTCGCGAAGCACTAAGCAGAGAAAAAGCGGAGTAGTCAAGTGGGGACATTGAATTCTTATAGGCTATAAGTGACATTGGCTTTCTTTTTTTGAATTGTCAAACCTTTAAGGCCGTTAAAAAACCATAAGGGAAACTTAGACTTCTTGAATTCAACCTGCGGGACAACGCTAATAATACAAAAGTGAAGATCATTATAAAAAGCATTAGTGGCCTCTTTTGAATTTAAAGAGTTAATAGTATCTTTCTAATTGTAAGATAAGAGAAATTATTCAATTTTGACGTAATCATCTCTATTAAAATCAAAGAAGAGCAGATCAATTCAGAATTATTCGGAACTGAGGCCAAACCCGTTTTAAAAACCAACGTCGGGTGGTAGCGATCTTCAAGAACAACATACTCATCAAACTTCGTAATAATCATAATGCATTGACTGCAAAAAACCAAATCTAAAACGGAACAGTAGTAAATTTCAATCTCATTCAATTGAAAAAAAATTAGGTTTGTAAAACTTTCAGGAATACAGATGCATGGCATCTGATTGAAGTCGAGTAATTTACACAATTTTTGCCGTTTGACCAATGGATACCAGGAATATTAAAATCATCAGAGACAATAAATGAACAGTTAATTATTTGGAATTAAAGTTTATTGTTTTGTGTTAAAATACGTTTTGGAAACCGGAAATTTAGTACGCTCAGAGAGTTAGCTTTCCTGACTTGTTTACTCTTAATCAGTGATTACTGATCAAATTCAAAATGTTATAAAAAAATGATTAAATACATAAATGATCTGATCATTAAAATAAGAAATATCAAATATCAAATAATATTATAAAAAAAATGATTATAGTAAACATTCAAGTCAAAAAAGTCTTATCATTTTATGCATTTACTGATAATCTATTCATATAAACACAATTTGGAGTTGGAATTTTCGTAAATTTTAAAATAGGAACAGATAATGCAGGATAGCATGATTGTAACCAAGGCTCTGAAGTTGAGGTAGTACAAAAATGTACGAAACATGAAACGTGTAAGGGTATTATCAAAAAATAAACAAAGCAACATAGAGTAATATTAGCGAGTTAGAGAAAATATATTTTACTCTAAAAATAAAAGAGCACCCAAGACAGATAAAAACAGAAATTGATGAAATTAACTAAGTAGGTAACTAGAGAAGAATTTAATAAAACACACAAAACAAATTGAGCCAATGGGTTTTTTTGTAGATAGGTTACTGATTGAGTTCCTAAAAGAAGTGGAGGACAATACTTTAACTCCAAATGCTTAAACTAAAGTAGAATATATTAAAAATCAGAAGAATGGCCAAATAGAACATTCATAATCAGCCGCTATTCGACTACCAAATAAGCCTAACTCTATAGAAGAGAATGTGAATGTACACACTCCACAGTGTCTTACAATTTTACTGATATCACTAATGATAACACTCATGTCAAAACCAGTACTAATATCACTTATTAAGAAACGAATGTAGACTAAAAAAGAGAGATATTTGATATCTAGTTTGATTTATATAACAATATGGGTAAGTACCATGGGTAGTTGCCTATTTTTCCATATTCTCCATTATCATGTATGTACGTCTTTACATGCATGGGTGGAAACTTTCTTAAGTGCCTTTCTTTCTAACACAGATGATAAACTTTTGTCTGTTTTTTGTAACGTACTACATAAAGTTTCCGACTCATCAACAACTGGTTTAATAAGTGTCTGATAAATTTAATTCTTTGGATTTCTTGAAAGTTTTCTGAATCATAAAAGCTTTGTCAAACCGAAATAATATTTAATAACATCTTGGATTCTCATTTCTCACCCTTATTTTGCTATTTATTTTGTTCTGGATATATTTTTTGAAATCTAAACATTAATTTTTATGATAATGGAGTATTTGTCTTTGGCCTATCATCTTCTCAGGGTTTCCCGTATTTATTTCTGCAACCACACATTTCAATGCGCGTACAAGTTTTCTGTGTTGCCTTTCGAGCTGATAATTATTTTCCACTAGAAACACTAATTAAACTGATACAAGTTCAATGTTAGTCTTTCCTAGCCTGATACCTTGATGGAACAGAAGATGGGATATCCAGAAGAATAGAAGATGACAACCAATATCAAATTTCATCTCTCAAACTGCCTAAGCCTATTTATATTTTATTCAGACACCAATTAATGGTTAAGAATAGTATAAACGCTAAACCAGTTGGAAGACAGTTAATCATGAAGATGCAGTGAAATGTTGTACTAAGGACTATACCAGGTTCCGGGCTAATGTAAGAACTGAAATATTTATTGGAATACATATTTTGTAATGCTTAGAACCCGCATTAAAACCTGAACTAATTTAAATGAAACAATCATTTTTAACAAAGAGGTTTTTATTGGTCCTGACATATTACTGAAGATTATAATATTTTAATTTTGGGTTTAAAAAAAAAATATGAAACATAAATAAATATAGGTACTCACAGCTGTTTATTTTTCATACACATATATTGTGTTTAATATGTCTATAGTATTTTAGCTTCAATTTATCACATCAGACGACAAATAACGATTATTTTGTCTACAAACATATGAGTAACAATATACAGAATGATCGAATAACAGTCATGAGTTCTTCTAATGCTTTATTAAATTTGAGGAAATCTCAATGTATACTTAAGTGGAATGATTAAATAAACCTTTGAGTTTGGGTAAGATTTCCTTAAAAGTGTATTTAAATTAGTTTAGAAATATGATAATGCTGAGTTGAATATTCAGAAATTAATTTGTAAAACAGTGTCAATAAGCATCTATCTCGAAATTCTTTAACATAAGTAGGTATTAAACTTTTCAAACTACAAATAAAAACACGAATGATTTATATATTTTAAATATCAATGGACTTGTAGGTAAGACTCAGACCGAAACTAAATTATTATTAAGTCTTAACTTCAATAAACAATTATCAATTTTACAATTATTACTAAACTAACTAACTAATTTTGTATTGTGATGTTTTGTTAAATGTGTTTTCCCTGAAAAATGAAAGATTTTTTAAGAACTAGTTTATATCGATATTTTATGGAACTAAATCCATTTTTTTTAAGAACCAAACCAAAACGGAAAAAAGATGAATTAGATTCCTGTGCTTGTATTATACATGAACATAGTTTGTAAGTTTGTCACGTCGTAGTGTTAAAATCAAATGTCAAGTCTTAGACTGAAAGAATTAAGTTAAAAGTCAGTTTTTCTTTTACCTAGAAAGTAAATAACTACCGAAATAAAAAAATATGATAATTGAGTTTTAATAATAAAAAGTTGTGTAAAAACATATTTTGATATTATCTTTGTATTGAGATAATATTTTTGTAGTAGTGTAGCATTTGTCTAATGTATAATGTTTACGATATAATAACCACATATAGTTATTAGGATAAACCTTAGAGTTAAATTTAGATGTATAAGAATATTACAAAAATAATAAATATATTTTTAATACCTGATACATCTGACTCACTAAATTGTCATGATAAAAAAGTAACTTTTAATTTAATTAAAAATTATAGAAGTCAAAAACAGTTTTTAGCTTTTGATTTTGGGTTAAATAGTGCATATAGAATCAGTTTTAATTTTTGATTTAAATTAACAAAATAATCATACACAATATGTAAGTAAAATATATTATACTGTATTTATTTACTGTATAGGTTTAGCTTGGTTTGGATGTAGATTGTATAAAATTAGGTGTAGGACATACAGTTTATATGGATTGGGTAGGTGTGCTTCTTATACAATTATACAGAATGTACCTACAATGTATATTTTTGAGTTAGTTATTCTTAAAACTAAAATTAATCATGTATACATATTCTATAATATTATAATGTCACGATATATATATATATAAATAATTTCATATAAATTATAAATACCTGGTATGGAATAATTTCTTTAATGCTGGCTCTCCGATAACAGATACAAAATTTAGCCAGGCTTGTGAGTTCCTTCTTTCCAATTCTCCACAAGCCCTATTTTCATCTGGTTTGTCTTGTTTACCAGGAGATAAAAAATCACGAAAGCCCCACGCAAAGTCCTCCAAACATATTTGTCCGTCACCGTCACGATCCAAGTCTGAAAATATCACATCTGAATCGCTGGGTCCGATGTCAAATTTAGCACATAATTCTTGAAATTCTTCTGGGCCAATTTTTCCTTGGCCATTTCGGTCGCACTCATAGAATAAGTCTTCTAAATGGACGTCACTCATGATGTGTTGTTATTTGTGTGATGGCTCTACTTGCGCACTACATGATACTTGTAATTACCGACTAATATGTGTCATGATAATAAAAACCAAACCGATGATGATAAATATGCTCACGTAAATCATTCGTAGTTAATAGTTAAAGTATCGATGACGAATATGCACCAAACGTACTCACTGTAACATAACAAGATGTCCTATAACATATATTTATAAAAAAATATGACATATTTCATCACTAGAAATTGGCAAATATATTTTGTCACAGAAATGTTTTACATCTACATATAATTTGGTCTATCACACAACGCGACGTCATGTATTTATTCATTTGCGCATGTTGCTTAAGCTGTTTAAACACTGCACGAATCATTGTATAAATAGTAGGTACCCATATTATTGTTTTACATATTACAACCAAAATATGACTTTGTTAAAATGAATATCAGCGACTATTATTATTTGTCATTCTAGTAAATAATATAAATCTATATGAACATAAATTAATATACTACACTTCAATATTCTAAGATTCAATCTCTCTAAATAAAAATATTGTACCTATTAAGAACAATAAGTTATTCATAGTAAAATAAGTGCTGGGTGTTACTATACCAGGTAACAAAATTACCAGGTTTTAAATTAAAAAACTTCACTGTTATTGTCACTTTATAAGGTGTTACCACTGGGTAAGGTGTAGAACAATCTTAAGATTCACTTAAACTATTTTCTATGTCACCTATCAAATCTACTTATTGTACAAAAAATGTATAGAAAAAAAAAATTTTAAATATAAATCATTGTATCAATTAGGTAGGCATCTTGTTTATTATATTGGTGTACGAATTGTTTCAAATCATTGAGATTTGAATAAATTCATAATGAAATGTGTAATTGAATTAAACGACGACAGACATTGTTTCCATTCGTCATCAGTCGATTAATATTAAATTATAAATTATTTCGTGTAAAACAAGTATATTATTTAATATAAATGCTATAAGCTATTTAAGTTACTTATATTACGTTAACGATTTTTTGATTTAAAACATACAGGTATTTGTCAATTGATAATTTAATTAAAATGTTAAAATAAAAACAAAATTAAATTTAAAAATCATATAGGTAATTATTAATAATATTTATACTGAAACAACATCTTAACAATTCAATAGGTAGTCATTTGTTGATACTCACATGACTGTTTTATGGTATATGATCATTGTAACAGTACAGTGTAAGGTTATTTACTTTTTCACAATTCCACTCACAGTACTTATAAGGACATTAAAGTTTAGGGTTAGATGCATATTGACATACTGTAATAAATTAAGCATCTCTGAGTTCTATCAATATTTTTATAATCTAATCGAAGCTGGATAGCATTGCTTTATAATAATATTTTATTTTTATCATTTTTGTGGTCAAAACACTTTAGATAATAAGTTAAGAGTAAACTATTAGGCTCAGAAACTATATTAAATAACTCTCATGGATAGGCATTTAATAGGCTTATACGTACCCATGCTAAACATTGTATTTTAATTCCCCTAATAATATTCAATTTTTTTTTTTGTTCTAATGAAAACTAAACGCTGACTTTTTAGTGAATGATGAAAAAATTTTTTTTTAATTTATAATATGTTATAAGCCAATAGCCAATAAGTTTTATAAGCATAATTAAAGTTTGATTTTAATTTTAAATGTATTTGATTCTTCATGTTATTTTGTCAGATAATACTACCCATCTAATTAAAATGTTTGTTTAATTGTGCTCTATTAACACTTTCCCGGGTGAACAAATAAAGACAAATTACTAACTATCATTTTCTGGATCTTATCAAATTTGTAGTTTACCGTTGATGTATTTTACAAAATTAAAAATACTCATTCTGACAGAATCTAATATAAAACAGAATTGTTTTTCATAAAAGTAAATTCATACAAAAAATTTGACATGAACTTTTTTTAAAAATTATTAATATGAAAACGGTCATTTTTTAAAATGTTTGACAAGCTGAATACATACTGTATAAATGTTGAGGTATTTTAACCGAATATATTAAAATGTACAATTCAAACAATAAGTGATGAATTTTAAGTGTACATGTTCATTGCATTACACATACACAAACTATGTTAAAACGAATTTATAAGTCAACAAGGCTATCACAAGTATATTGTTTTAAGGTTACGTTACACGTTGCATTTTACCTAAAATTAAAAACGATCTGTTTTGACGGATGGATTAAACATAGGTACCTATAATTGGTAACAATACGAATTATATATGTAGTGTATTACACATACAATTTGCAGCTATTTGCTGCAGCCTACGATTATAATATTGTTGGTATTAATTGGCCACCACTGACTTAATATTTACGCAAAACTAAAGTCTATTTAATTTGATCATTATTCTAATGTCTCAAATAAATTACAATTTGATCGGTGTCGTTACTATAATATGGACTAAACTAATGTGAATCACAATATTTTGTGATGGCAGTTTCTGAAAAGTATTATATATTATGGTACCTACATTATTTACGGTTGTGTAAGTGTGATGCGCCTAATACAATAACTGTCAATTAGCATGGTGCGTGACTATTAATTATTAAAGCTATTCGATAAAATGTTGTTATAATTGTATACGTAGTAATTAAGTTCTGTATTTTGTTTTCGTATTCTAATCATCTAATCAGTATTGTACACATTATATTATAATAGTATAATTATAATTTACAGTTGGCTGCAATAAATTAATAACTATGAGTGAAATTGGTTTTTAAGGATAAGTCATTATTATTTGATTACTATGGAAAGTTTAAAATATAATTTTAAATTATTTAAAACTGTATAGATAATTAAATATGTAATTATTATATGTTTGTATAGAGAATATTACCCACCTATTACTTGTATTAAATAAACTTTACGTGAAATAATTATATATCCCGTTTCTGTTTGGATAACATTTTAATAAACACATAAAGATTTTGTTTTATAAACTTACAGATCTTTAATTTTTGTATGTAATTAAAACTAATATTAACTTCATAAATATTATTTTAAATTTACAGAGAGTGATTTTATTAGGGTATAAAAAGTGATAAGTATAATAACTGATATGTAACCGTGACAAAAAACGGCCATTGTGATAAACAAAAGTTGAAATGATACAAATTACAAAGGAACAAAAAATTAACCAATAAGCGGACAGAAGGAATTCGATTTAAAATTGAAATTGAACTCTAGAAATTATTTCAATAATTTTTGAAGATTTTATTTTTTTTTAAGGTAATATATTTTTAATCTCATGGTGATAAAATAAAATAATGATAAAAAAATAAATATAAAAATAACCTAGACCAATTAAATTATCTCGATTTTCAATCGATAAATAGGACTTCCACCAACTTATAACTTTTGAAAACCCTTCCTCTGTAATAGATATATGTAATACAGACAAAAAGAATTAAAAACCAATAATCAGTGAGTAAATACAATATAATATACTATTATACTGTATACAGTCATAACTTTATTCATAATATTATAGGTACGAGTTACTTGAATTTTTTTAAATCTTTGGGTAATAATGATTAGCACTTGGTGTGCATTATTATTTATTGACTCTAGTTTATTTTGTTTACTCTGAATTATTATAACTATTAACATATTAGATAGATATAATAATATATTAAACTGTTCAAAAATAAAATACTTTAATAATTGTGTACATTAATCATTATCGTGTACCTATACAGCTATAAATATTAAAAGCTTATAAATACTATATTATTATGGGTGACATTTAATACCATACTCTAACTATACGTCATCTAATATAATATTTAGGAAGGTACCTATATGTATTGAATTAATATTACATAGATAATTGCATAATTATTGTATTAATCACAACTTTTACCTATCAGTATTCAGTATTAGCCATTAGGTAACACTTTTCGTTTTTCAGTAGGTACCTACCTAGATAGGAGGTGCCTACTAAGTTTATCAAATTAACCTTAACATTCATAACAATTAACCTGCATTAGTCATATAATATATTATGTCAGTATCTAAAATTTCTGACATTTCGTAGATAATGCTCAGTATATAGATACAATAATGTTTTTCATAAACGTATAAAAGTTCAAATTATCTTTATAGCAGTATTATTATGCCATATTAACCTACCTGTCTACTTAATATTAATTATTGGATAAAAAAAATACTAATTTATTATATAAATAAAACTTTTAAAATAATTGAATGCTACAGGTACCTAGGTGATATACGAGTAGTAGGTACCTATACCAGTTTACCTAGCCTAACTATATATAATAGATACATAGTCGGAATAGCATCAGGTATCTACCTAATACCTTAGCTATATAGATAAATTAATGTTTTAAATACATATATCAATAGGTACATTCCCAGTTCCACATAATAATTAAAAAATCAAACATTTATACAACATTAAATGAGTGTTTAATAATTTCATTTAAAACAACACGAGTAGGTACCATCAAGCTGCCATAACTCTGTGTAACAAGCATCAATCTCTACATGATATACCTACAACACTGCAGTATGCGAGTATGCCAGTAAACAGAATATTATGAGAAAAGTGCAATAATCAGCAACTTAAAAATTCTTAATAGGTATGTGCCTATATTTACATTATATGATTATAATTTGTACCAAAATATAGTCTCTAAAAAATTTATAATTTATTTCGACCTACATATATTAATATATTATTTAATTAAATATCATCTTGTTTGCCTTGCCTTGTTTTTGTGTTTTATAAAGTTTCGTAATATTATGATATTGAAAATATATATTAATATATTATCATGGTTTTTTTTAGTACCTTAATAATAACGTATACGCAGCGAATATTTAAATATTAATACAAAAATCCATAATCGCGATCAATGCTTGGAAACAATTATTGACCTTGTATACTACCTAACTGTGTAGACTTAATATTATATAGTAAATAATTACTAAAAGTAGGTATAAGGTCTATGTCGGCAACCTACTTTCCGCGTAAAACCGTTAGCACAAGGATTCTCGTCAGTGGGCGGTTAGTCCGATAAGCAAAATAAAATATTACCTAGTTGTATCACCTTTAATACCTATTATTTTATTTTATTATGTTATACTAGGGAAATGGTTTGAGGTTTCAATATTGTATCTATATTACTGTTTTTCTATAGGTATTTTTACATAAATTTCGTTAGACAATATGGTCAATGTATACTTCAACAGTTCAAAGTGTACCTATGTGAATATACCTATATGATGTGGTTTTATTTATTTATTAATTACTATGCAATAATAAGACTAAAAGTCAGTGCTCAATGTAGTAGGTAGGTTTATCTAGATGGTCTTATGGTACATAATATATATTTGCAGACTTACAGTAACCTTATTCATGTGAATATTAAAAAAAAAAAAGTGCAAATTAGATTTAGTTTGTAGTTTTAAAATTTTTAATTTTAATAAAAGTATTAACATTTTCTATTTGTGATAAGTTAAACATTTTCAAAATATTTTGACACTTTTTGAGCTATCTATATTTTTAGGTAATTTAGATATTTGATTATTTCTATTTATTTTTTCTATAATGTCTAAATTTCGATAAACATTGAACATTTAATACAAGATTCCTCATAAGTTATTTATATACCAATTAGAAAATTTGAAAAATTCAGTGACAACATTTTTTTCTAATGATATGATCAAATTAATTTTCTATTTTTAAGAAATGTTCATAACAATTTTTTACCGGGCCAAAAAACTTTAAAATGTAATACAAGGTTCTTCATAAGTTGTTATTCAAGATATTTAAAAATATTAAATATATAAATCCTGCACAATCGATCTTTATTTTTTGTTTATTATTTCAAATTCAATTTTTCACAAAATTCATTAAAATCACAAAAGTTTTCAAATTATTTTATAGTTACTTAAACATTCATAAAAAATTCAATATTTTTTAATTGTGGATTGAAAATGCAAAAGGTACAAGGTTCTTCATAAATAATTCGTATACTGAACCAAAATCTGAAAAAAATTTTCACAATTTTTTCAAGGTCGTTTAAAGTTAAAATTCGGACGAAATTAGATAATTAAACGTCGAATAATTAATAATTTTAGTTATTTGGTTATAATTTAAGCACATTAATGAGAATTATTGATTTATACGTATATCATAAAATAATATACTTAGTAATATAGGCCGTCAGACCATCTATACAATTCAAATTGAACACATCCATTACGGTGACCTTACTCAATGACAAGGTACCTATTGGTATCTACTACAGCACAACAGAGCGGGGTTACCTACTTTCCCCTTTTTTATTTTGTATTTTGATTTTTGTATGACATTTTTGTAACTACTGTACAATTACATTGAGAATTATATTTTGGTGAAATATTTAAGTTTCTACATTTAAATTGAAAGACGTATTTTAGGAAAAAGTTCAAAGAAGCCGACTTCAGTCAATATTTTGTATATTTAGTATAGGCAGCTACAAGCTATTAAAAGTGTTTTCAAGTAAGGTTAACACTTAATTAAAATATTAGATGCTTATAAGATATTAATATGTAGGTAGGTACGAAGTAGGCAGCTATACGTAACAGTTTAAGGCTTCTCGTGATCCTTATCCTAAAAATTTTACCCTATTAAAGTAGGATGTTGTATAGGTATGTGTATGTCTAATTATAGTAAAGACTAAAGAGCATTATGGGCGAGGGTTGGGTGTATATAGTATAGATTTGATGTATTATGAAGTTTTTTTGAGTTCATCATAATGTATAGGTAATTTGTTTTGGTATGTTATGTAATCAAGAAACCTCGGTGTACGAGAACATTGGAATAATATGATCGAAAATAATATAGCGTAATTCCTATTATGATTATTTTATTCTAACAGCCTCCCCAGTTATTGTAGGTGTTCGGATACACGTCAACAAGTCAGGACGTTGGCGGGTATCTACGTGAGACCAGCAGCACCTGGACGGTTTTCGGCTGGGTTCTCCGATAATTCGTATTATGCATACGAAATATCGTATTATGTCCCACAAAACATACGAATATAATGCGTAATAGAGTATAATAATGTTATTACGTCGGCGCGCACGCGTTCGTCGGTAGGTACATACATGGCTACATATTCTAATACAATGTGGTGTGAGTGTGCGCGAGCATGTGTACGAAATAAAATCGATATAACGCGAGTATCGAAAATGCCACGCAGCTGGGTATGCGCGGCGGCGGCGGCGGAGGAGAGAAAAAGTTTGAATAATGAAAACGCACGAATAGGGGGAAAAAAAACAAGAAAATAATCGGCATTGAGCCGCCAAACGGGAGGGTGCGATAGCGCTATCTAGCCGGCGTAGAAAATGGCCTCGGCAAGTTTTTCGCAGGAAAAATACAAACGGAATGGGATAATAGTTCGTCCGTAGATCAAAAATAAATCTCGAATAATAACATATAGCATTCAAATCGAACAGTGGGAGCTTCATCCACACAATTCAATGGTTTTCGGTCGTTCTTCCGGCGCATTAATATACGTACCAAACTCGAAACTACCGTCACAATAATGTACAGTAGATGTATTACTAATACATTTTTGTATTCAATGTTAAAAATAATATTTTAATGCGAATGACTAATAAAATTCTTTCGACGTTTTCCGGCGGATTTGATGCTCGAATACCGCCACACTGCCACGGTGCCACGGGCGCGTCGGCTTAAAATTCTAGTGACCCCGCAATCGCCGCCACGCCCAGCTACGGCGGCTATCTTTCGCGTTATCGACTCGAAATTATCATTATTATTATTATTATTATTATTATTATTATCATTATCGTAATGTACACCTTTTTGGGGGTTTTAATAATACACACACACAAACACACATCACCACGACGATTATAATATTATTATGTACTATCAGCATGCATAATTGATAACGTTCACAACTCGCGTGGAGTGTGGACGGGCGGGCGAGTACGCCTACCACTGACGCCGGTTATCTCCTTAGCCTTTATCACTCGCCAATAAAATATACATGAGTGTATGATTTTACATGCAAATATGTAATTTATTAAAACGATATTTCAACAAAGTGCAATGCTGCAGAGTTTTATTGCTCGAAAGATGGAGATCTGACCGTCCGAAAAAAAAAAATAAAAACCATACGGCGGCGGTGTGTAGTGAATCACGTATTACGAGGACGCGCGCGCCGACCGACCGTCGACCGGCGGTGACTAGTGTGCGTGTGTGCCGTGCGTGTGTGTGTGTGCACCGTGTGTGTGTGTGTGAGCCGTACTGCCTTGGTGCCGTGTGCGTGCGTGTTTGCCGTGTGCGTCCGTGTCCGTCGTGTACGTTCCGCAAACTTTTTGAATAATTCACGACGCCCGCACACCGTAGGTGGTGCCTACTTTTTTACCTTCTATCGACTTTTTCCCGCCCAAAAAAACTTATCGAACTTTATTTTTTTTTAGGCATTTTTTATCATCGTCGTCGTCGTCGACAGAGAAGTCAGGACCCGGCGAGTGGGCTGCTCAGAACGACGACGACTGCTCATCCACACGTCGCGAATACCGCTTTTCGGAGTACACACTCGAACGTGTTCCCCGATAGTTTCGGAAGATCCGAGTGCCAAGTCCGTGTTCTATCGACACGAGATCCTCTCCATGACGATCTGCGTCCACAGACACCAACGTCGCCACAACCACTGATCCTAGTCGTAGGCGAACAAACGATATCGGCCGCGGAACATGTCTGTGGCCGTTTTGACTGCCATCGCGGTTTTCATCATCGCTGTGTTTCGTATGCTCAACGTTTCCAGTCAACCTCAAAAACCATCCTTCTTTTGCAGGGACAAACAGTTCCTCAACAGAGTCCTGAAATTCGCGCCCCAACTTGAGGAACCGTAAGTGCACCTATTCAAATTTTTATTCTCACCTCCGCCAAACTTGTTAGCCTGTGTAATTTGTTCACTTTACGCGCTTGCTGGCAAAGTCTGTAATTTTCTTCCACTTTGACCCTGGAATAATCGAAATAATACCAACTGTCCATGCTACCAGATTATAATATGTATTTAATGACTGACAAACGCACACAATGCATACAAATGTAATGTATGGTGATTTAATATTATGGATTTATTTTGTTATTTGCCTAGATTTTACTTAATATACCTAGAAATAGTTACATTTCAATCTAATTTTATACATATTACCGTAGGTACCAATTTCTTTTCCTAGTTAATATAAATTGATCAATATTAATACGTAGGTGAGTACCTAAATTCTAAAATACATTATCTTAACTTTAAACCAATGGACTGGAGTTATAATTTTTTAATGGTACCACAAAGTACCTAATAATATACCTACCTAGTATATGTTATAATAGGATACTTACTTATTAGTTATTAGACTACTTATGTTCATTTAACTTTCCTTATACACCAATGTTTAATTATCCATGTGACCCATTGACCACATTTAGTAACATAATTTAATATGACATTATTATTCAAATATTAAAATGATAGACATTTTATCATTTTTTTGTGGGTTTAATTAGTAATTACTATCTAATTAGTTGGTACTTAATATAATTATATTGTGCCTATTACCTAATTGTACTACGTATATAGGTTAGGTACTTGTCTTTAATCAATTTTAAATTACTTTCCGTTAATTTCTAATAACCTATAGTAATTTTATTTACATGTATTTTAATTAAAATATCATTAGAGCTGGTCAATTTAACATTTATGTGGTCAATCATTGAGAAAAAAGGTATTTAGTTTATAATTACATGGATAAGAGATATATTATGACTTATAATTAATAAAATTATATGCATACATTTTTAACTGTACTATTTTAAACTTTATTATATTGATAAAAATTGGAAGTTACCTAATAAAATTCTTTGGCTATTTTCCTTATGATTTATAAGTAATGCTCAAATGTTTAGTAATATGAATCATTAAAAAGAGTTAATAATTGAAATACAGCAAAAAACAAATTTAATATCATCTATATCTTTAATTAAATTGTTTTCATTAAAACAGTATTATTAGACCCACTTAAATTTTAAATTGTTGTAAATGATCTTTCTACACCTACTGATGTATTGGGACCAAATTTCATATACCTAAGCTAAATCTTTTAAGCTATAGATACTGTTCTACATTAAATGTTAATACATTGCAATTATATAGGTATATTATTGACGTTTTTCATATCACTGACAAAACTACAATTTGGGTATTTCGATTATATTTACTTGATTAGCCATCTATTATATAACAATTTCATGTATTACTTATTTCTACTAATTATTTATTAGGCTAATATAATACAATAATAGAATTGAAATAGATGACATTAAAAAAAATTGTGCATCAATTAGCAAAAATGGAGACTATGGGCAGTAAAAGCAAAGTAAAGTTTACTTCATTGTAATTATAATGATTCAATATGAGAATATTATCTTTCAGTCACATTAACCTGTAAGAAAAACGTTTTTTTACATAATCCTACTTATTACGTATATGTAAGTAACGAGTTCTTTCAGTGATTGTTTATTGAATGGCTATTAACTATTAAGTACCTACTTACCTCGCTACTTACTGAGTAAGTTATTTAATGATTTTAATAATATTAAATAGGTACCTATCCCACAGTTCCTGTTTAGCAATCAATTAGTTAAACAGTTAGTTTATCAAATTATTAGTATTATTATGAATGAATATTTTTTAGACTGTATTTTTACATTTACAAATTGGTAAATATATAATTTTTAACTAATTAAAATAGTTATTTACCTTATTTAAAATTTAAAAAAAATTAAATGTTTTATTTAATTTGCATGTAAGAATATAAAAGTAGTAAACATATTATGAATTGGCTAATATTGTCCACTTAAGATCGGTATGACTTTTGTGTTTTTTTAATTTGTGTTGGTAGCTATTAAAAATATTAGTCATTCCTTTAATATCTTATTATTTATGACAATCCAGATAAGAGTTTAATAAGGTATGATGTCATTAAAAATTATAATGCCAAGAATAAAATGTTAACGAAGCAGTACCTGAATTATTACTTAGGTATTAAAAATAATAATAATAACTTACTTGAAATGTTTGTTTTTTTAAAGAAATGTGTAATTAAAACAATTATCACTCAACGCCCACATTTATTAGTACCTTTTATAAAAATAAGTTCAATTGAAATCAACATTTAAAAATAGTTAATATGTACCATGCAATTAAGTAATCATATAATATTGAATGAATTATTCATAGATTGATGTTAAACAATGTATTTTTAGTTGATAGAAATATATAACATATAGGCATTAATATTTAGTTTAAAATGTTTGATGATATTATGTTTTTTAGTTATGAGATGTAAAATAACAAATAATAACAAGTATAAAATTTAAATAAGTCCTCATTTTGTAAATTGTAAATTTAAATATGTAGGTATGAGTATTTAATACAATAATTATTGCAATATGTAAACTTAGCAAATGTTTAAAATAAAATAACAATTGGAAAACACATGTCTTATGAATATCTATTTAACACGTCATATTTAACATAGTTTTGTTACACATTAAATGGTTTAATATCTAGATACCTATATAGTAGCTTTAAATTGCATATTATGCAAGTCCAAATCTATTTGGAATAGGGCTAGGTAGGTAACCATTGTTTACTTCAGAGAACATGGATTTATTTAATTTGGTTAAACAGCACTTAGGTACACTTAAATATTAAAACAATTAACAAGGAGAAAACTAAAAAAGAAGCACAAGTCAAAGTATTGCAAATTGTAAAATATTTTGACAAAAGTAAAGTCAGTGAGTGTTTATTATTATAAAAAAAAACATTTTATCTTATATGAGTTATTCTTGAGTTCTTATGTAATAAAAACATTTCTCCTCATCACCCAGGCTAACCTTTCGGCTTTCATTAATTCAATAACTAGATAACAATATTTATCTAAGTATTATCCAATTGTTAGTAGATCTAATGAAAATAATCTGTAAACTTGTTAATTTATTGTAGGTATTTAGATTCAAAGGTTAATTATACTATTTTATCTTTCCATTTTTTATTTAGTTGATTCAGAGGTTAATAAGAATTTTTCTAAACAAATATTGGATGGAAACTTCTTTTATTCAAGTCTAAGATTACATTATTTTTATGATTGAAGTATGAAGTACCTACCTTTTTTAAAAATTTTATCTAAGTTTGTTTAGTTAAATTAGGTTTTTGTATAAATTACGTTTTAATAATATTTATTAACTTAACTGCTATATGTAACAATTTATATACATAATAAAATCAAAAGAGTTATTTTATTTTCCACTTTAGATCATACAAAAAATAATAATCATTTTGCCTTTTTTCATAAAGATAACTATTATGACGTGAATATAATAAAGGCCCAAACAAAATGCATTTATAGAGTGATTGTATTAATTAGTGGCAATTCCGTATTCAAGTGAAAAATGCAGTAGCAAGGTGTGAGGTTTTTGGTTGGGGAGACGCTGAAAAAAAATAGCACTAATACGTCTGGACTCCCCCTTTTTCTATTTTATCTATACAATACGAAATAAATGTTCAAAAACTAAAAACAAAATTAAATATTATATTTAAAATGTTACAACTTCCTTAAAATAATAATTTAATAAAATAACAAATGTAGGTATCATCATAGCAAACAAAACAAAATAAAATTTAATATACTGACAACATGCAACTCACATTAAGATGAGGTTTAAAAAACAAATTTACGTTAAATCTATTTTTCTATTTTTGTCTGAAAAATAAGTCAATGACAATAAATTCAATAATGGACATGTTCATTTATTTTTAAATTCAAATTTTTTTCATATGAGTAGGTAGTTATATAATAATTATATATATTATATAATATATGTTATATATATTATATATAATTATATAATAATTTCATCGTTCAAAATGATTAAATCATCAGCCATGAGGACAAATTACAAATTATCATGTAAAAAAATTAAATATTAAGAAACATGTACGATGTTCCTATCATGATGTCGTGACTACGCAACTGCGACGTCGATAATTGATGACCGAGGTATCACCCATCAAGTATTATTACGAACGGCGAGACGATTAAAAATCCCCTTGTACCCGCGCTCCTATATTTGCGAGACATTGCATCTCAAAGTCTATTTGATATAATACCATATTTAGAATGATCAGCATTTCCAGCTTGTACGCACAGCAGTATCGCTCTCATCTAATCTATTTTAAAAATGTTATTACTGTACAGCAAAAAACCAATCTTAACAAATATTGAAACATACAACACACTTTTAATATAAAATATAAATTCAAATTTGTAAGTATTTTTTATAGCAAAATTATTATTTATTTATCCCGTGCTGTAATTTCTAAGTGGGGAGACTTCTCATTGTCTCCTATGACGCTTCGTCACTGGCAAAATGTTGTAATAACTGCTTTATATCATTCATTAACATCTTATATCAGTATTAAAGTACTTAGTTAATCATAAAATTAATAGTGCGAGATATATTGTTAGTTACTTCCATGGAGTTAAATTAAATATATGCATATGTATTTATATATAATATATTATATGGTGTGCATATTAGATAAATTTCTCATAAAATAATTACTTGATTATTAATTTGCTTTATGTTTTACTTTTGTTTTTATATCATTCTTAAAGAGCAATAAAGTATTGAGTTATTCATTTCAATTTTTTTAAATTGTTGTACTATGCTTACCTACTTATACATATTTACTTATATTCATATTTTAAAACATTATTATTAGGAAACAAATTTTATTGTAATAAAAAATAAGAAATATGTAGATAATCTTGTAATTATTTTTATCAAAATATGTAAAGAAAATTAATAATATGCAAGTATCGAAGAAGTGCATTAGCATTGAAAATTACAAAAAAAAATATATTTTTATAAATAAATATAATACAAATGATGTAGATTTATAAAACTATGAGTATTATTCCGGAACAAAGCAATGAGAAACAACATAATGTTGAAGGCTTGCAAATGAAAAATCGCGACGGTTTGGTCGGAGAATACTCTTTTATTGACTAAAACACCATTCTATGTCAATAGATGTGATAATGGCGTAATTCATGTTCACTATATCAGAAGGAGTGAATTCAATGTCCAGAATTCTGTGTTGATTTTTACTAGTTAAAATATCTCTGATTTTAATGGTTTTAAATTCAGATTTTTTTTCAATTATACTTGCAAATTTGTGTTTGTTTTAACTATTTCTCCTATGTGCCCTTGAGTTTTTCTAATTTATCTACAGATTTTTCAACAATGCTGATACTTTTTATCAAAGACATGTTTTAAGTTTCCAATTGTTAAATTGTCTGAATCAAAAAAACGAAAATTTGCAGAAATGAATTTCAAGTTTTTTTTTAAATTGATATTTTACATTAGCAAATTTGCTTTTTAAATAGCTGCCGGCCGAAAAAATGCTGTCAAAATACTACCGTTACAGATAATGTTTAGTTGTCAAAAATCAATGAAAAAATCAAAAATTATTAAAATATGAACTTATTTACTAAATATGTATAAATATGTAAAATAAATTTGGGTTTATTTCAATGAGAATGATCTAAATCGTACACATTTTTTATCAGATTTAAAATATCTTATTCCAATAAAAACATGTATTTACATTAAAAATCCGTTCCCTACTTATCATGCTATTTAATTACTTTAAATTTTTTTCCAGATATGTACCAACTAGATTGTGGGGATTCAGTGGTCATGTTCAAACTATTTTGTACAGTGTTTTTGGTAGAGTGAGATGTCCATGTCCTAAAGGAGACCGAAGATTCTTAATTCTTGATGATGGAACTACACTTACATATGATCTGTTTAAGCCAACTTTTATTGAACCAGAACTAGGTGATTGAATTGTTTAGTTAATATATTTGCTTTTAACTTATTATGGTTTAAATTAAACTATATATTACAGGATTAAAAATGTTTTATTAATTATTTTTAGAGGGCATTACTGTAGTTATAGTTCCTGGAATTTGCAATTCTTCAGAGAGTGATTATATTCGAACATTTGTTAATTATACTCAAAACCAAGGTTATAGATGTGCAGTTCTTAATCATGTGGGAGCTTTGCATAATGTACCTGTTACTGCTTCTAGAATATTCACATATGGTAAAAAAATTTAAATACTTATAATTGTCTTTAAAAAATATTGATATGTAGACACAATACAAATTAATAATATATTGTGATTATTGATTTCAATATTTTCAATAAATAAATTATAAATTATGTCTTATTATTTATGATAAAAAAAATGTAATTTTATGTTAGAAAACACCAAATTTCATCCATAAACAATAACAATTATTTTTTTTATTTATTTTTTTTTCAATCCAAAGATTGGTTAAATGATTATTGATGTTTCTCTCCACTTGTCTCTGTCACTTATGACCCTCTTTATCTCCCAGTATGTTCCTATTCCGGTATCTTCCATCAATTGCTTCAGAAATGGGGTTCTGGGCCTTCTTCTTCCAGGTTTTCCTTCAATCTTTCCCTCTATTATTATGGTTATCCAAGGACTATTCCTTATTATGTGTCCGATCCATGCTTTCCTTCTCAGTCTCAGCGTATTCCATATTGATTTTTGGGTATTCATTCTCCTGAAAACCTCATCATTTTTTTATCTTTTGTGTCCATGAAATTTTTAGCGTTCTTCTCCAACACCATACTTCAAAGGCTTCTATTTTGGCTTTCTCAGCCTTCATTATTGTCCAAGTCTCTGCTCTATATAGAGCTACGCTCCACACAAAGCTTTTTATAAGTGTTTTCCTGGTGTCCAGACTTATTTTATTTGAAGTAAAAAGATTTCTCTTTTTATAATAGGCCTGTTTGGCTTGCGCTATTCCACATACTATATCTGTATGGCTTTTCCCATCGCTTGTGATTATGCTCCCCAGGTATGTGAAACTTTGAACTGTCTCCAGCGATATTCCATCTAGAGTTATATTTGCATAAATCTGCTGTTTGTTACTTATAAGAATCTTGGTTTGCCGTTGGTTTATTTTCATGTAGTGTTCTTTAAGCATATTGTTTATTTTTTCGATCATGTTAGTTATTTCTTCTTCACTTTCTCCAATTACAGCAATATAATCCGCGAAACACAACATTTGCACAAGTATTCCTCCTATCTTTACTCCTTCAATATTTTCTTTTCTTATTTCTTTTAAAGCTTCTTCTATATACAGATTAAATAAAGTAGGTGATAGATTGCACCCTTGTCTTACCCCCTTAGCAATTTTAGCCTCCACCTGGTTGTTACCTTTTTCAGCTTTTACGACTGCGATTTCATTGATGTATAGATTATGTATGATTTTCCTATCGTTATAGTCCATTCCAATATCCTCCAAAATCCTAAATAGTTTTGCCCATTTAACATTATCGAAGGCCTTCTCCAAATATAAGAAGGCAATAAACAGTGGTTTGTTGATTCTTAACATTTTCTCACAATAAAAATTATATAAAAATTAATTTGATTTAAATTTTAAACTTGATTTTTGTATTAAAATATATGTTATTTATTAATATTGACACTGTCTTTAAATATATAGTACTCATACGTAACATTGCATATATTGTCATTGACCACAACATTATAAGTCTAAAACTTTATTGTTATAAAAGTATTTAGTACGATTTCAACTCAAACTTTCTAAGTTTTTATGTATATAATGTTGAATAATAATTTACAGGTCACACAGATGATCTTCATGTAATGCTTTGCAACTTATCAGAACATTATCCAAGTACTAAAATTATAATTATTGGATATAGTATGGGTGGTAATTTGGTTACTAAATACCTTGGAGAATCTCGTCATAATAGACCAAGTAGTGTTATTGCTGGAGTATCCATTTGTCAACCTTATGATGCTTTGAAGTAAGCAAAATGTATCAAATATTATTAAAATTTACTTAGGAAATCTGTTGAATTTATATAGTATTATTTAAATGATGTGGGTATTATTTAGTTTATGTTTGTTTTTTCTTTAGATACCTGCAATTATATCTATATTTATTAAATATTGGTTTTAATATGACATTGTTTATTTAATTGTTTGATTTGAAAGTCTGGTTTTTAGATTGGCTGTTTCACATAAAAACGAGTTCATCACCTGGATGACTTAATATTATTATTTTTTAAGGACAATTAAAAAAAAAACAAAACTAATGTTTCATTAACTATTTAGGGCAACTGGTGTTTTATTACATTGGCAAAACTTCCGAAGACTTTATTTGTACGCATTAACAGAAGCAATAAAAGCTTTAATTTTGAAACATAGAAGTAAACTATTGGCAGATGACGTTAAAGAACGATATTCATTAATTGAAAAAGATATAATATCTGCTGCTACATTACCAGAACTTGATGATGCTTATACCAGGTAAAATTTTAAATACATTTATAGAATAATTAATGTTTTATACATTTTATGGTTTTATTCTAATATGTAATGTTTTTTTGATCCATACTTTTGATAAACTATCAAAGTTAATTTTTAATTTTATAATTGTAAATATTGTAATAATAATTAATTTAATTAATGCAGTGTTAATGATTTTGTGTTAAAAAAACTTATTTTCTTAATAAGTGGGTATTACATATTTATAATTTAAATTTACTTAAGTTTCAATTTATATAATTTCATCTTTGAAAAAAACTAATGTAAAATTTAATGAAACACTAAAAAACAATGTATTAATTTTTAGGGAATAGATACCTCTAACATAGATAATTATTATTTATTTTAACATAATATAATTGTAGTTAAGTAATTGATGAATTATATTTTTGATTACTTATAAATATCTTAAATTTGATTATTTAATTAGGAACTGAGAGTACTTTTTAATTATTTTTTTGGTTTTTATTTAATAACACCTGAATTATTCACTTTATTCAACTTTTTTAGTCCTTTGTAAATATTGGTTATTTTTTGTATAGTTCTACCAATAAACGGAAAGTCTTTCCGAGAATACTGCTAAACAATTTAATATTTCTGATCTAGATAAAAATATTAATTTACACTCAAATCTACAACTCAAAGACACTTACAAAAATATTTAAAAGTTATTTTTATAACTTATGAGTAAATTATCACTAGGATTTTAAGTATAATATTCAAAAATTGGCCCTCAAATCAGTTTTGTGAGAAACAAAAATAAGAATTTTTTGGAATTATTACAAAAGTTACTCGTTGAATTTTATTTGTAAATAATAAATCTAAATTTTTTTAGGGTTCCAGCCTTGAGTATTATATAAAAATAAAAATGGTAACTACTAGTTACAGACATAATAATATGTGATGTTACATTACCATAAACACGAACACCATACACCACATAAGAAAACAAGTGTAAAACTGAATATTAAAAAACCAAAAACCATAACACTGATTCAAATGAGTGCATATTATTGTTCGTTTACACGGGGACAGTAAATGATGATAGTTAATGTCACAACAGTAACTATCATCAAACTGTTTTCGTGTAGATAATTATATAGCAGCAATTGACATTGAACTACTACTGCAGTATCTCATTACCTAGCTGTGCTAGATAGTTAAAATTTACGATCATGGTAGTGCTACTTTGACAGTTCCTACAAAATTGAACTTAATAACTTTTTATCAGCAAAATTTGTGGAAATTTAAAAAACTCAATAATTATTAAATCAAAACTAATAATATAATGAAAACATAAAAGATAGTATTAACAATACACAACTATAGTTTTCAGTGATTAAAATAATACAGGTATTTATAAACTACATTGTAGTTAAGGTATGTTTTAATTTTAATTTGGGTAAAACGAATAGAAGCTTTAATATCAGATGTAATCTAATGATTGACAACGTCCAAAACTAGTAACTACCAGTTTTATTTTTACGTCATACAGCTAAAGGCAGTTATTAAACATTTTTTTTTTTAAATTTTACTATGTACAAAAAAATAAAACTTTATCATGGCATATTTTATATACCTAATCTCACATTCATATATGTATATTATAATTTATAATTTGTCAACTTAACACATTTAAACATAATTGTTTTTTTTTAGGCAATACTTTGATATAAATATCAAGGATATTTAAATTACTTAAACAAGATTTAAACTTGACTTACTATTGATGATTTCTTCAGTTCCGTGGATATTTAAATTTAATTAACACATTTTTAAACTCTATATTTTAGAAAAGTCAATAATTTCAAAAACCTTCATGAGTTTTATCGATGGTCGAGTTGCTTGCATTACATACCCAATGTAAAAACGCCAATGATATTTATTAATTCAAGAGATGATCCATTGGTACCTGAAGATTTATTAATACCTATTCAAAATTTTGCAAGTAAGATAATTATTAATTTTTATTAAATATATAAGCTAAACCACATTAAGAACTTCATATTTCTAATCTTTTTTTCATGGTTATCAAATATTTAAAAGTGTAATTTAAATTATATTGTATAGGTAGTATTGCCATATGTTTTATTAGCATGTGTTTTAATACCATTTAATTTCTGTTTAATCAATTTAAACTTTTAAATTTTTAAGTACAAGTAAAAGTGCTAAACACAAGTGTAATAGAAGAAGTTTTAACAAAATATTCATATAGTTTTTCAAAGAAAAAAAACAATTATTGTACTATAAATATTTATTTGATACTATTGTTATCATTAACATATTATGTATGCATTTGTTTTAGAATCAAAAGATAATATATTGTACTTGGAACTGATGCACGGTGGCCACCTTGGATTTTTTGAAGGCGGATTTATGTATCCTAATCCTATAGCATGGTTGGATCGGACTTTAGTAACATTATTGCCGGGTCTCAGGGAACATTGTCTTGATGATATGAAAAAAACAGCAGTTTACTGAATTTATCCATCTTTATCCACTATATACAAGTTTATGTATATGTATATATACTATGCTGTAAATGGGATTTTTATCATTATTTATTACACTGCTATTGATATAATACCTGATCTGTTATAGAATATAATAGATAGTAGTAGGTAGCTTCAAAAAATTATGTGTTTGAGCTTATATTTCTTAAATTTCAAATTGAACCACTTTAAATAAGCAAAAGTAGTGCATAAACCCTACTCTTTAATTAGCTTGTTATTTGAGTATACCTTTTTATTTGTATTAATTATATAAAAACATTATTGTGAGTTATAATTTATATTTCACCTTAATCCTTCTTCAAATATTTCTAAGACTTGAACTTAAATTCTCACAATTTACATGAATAAACTCTCTTTATGTTTTCCTTAACTTTTTTTGTGTATGTTTGAATGCTTTGAGTTTCACGCAAACTAAAACTTTCTCATCATTTCATTAATATACATAACATTTGTATGTACTGACTAATGTATTAATTTCACACAATAATACATTAGCACCGTACTATAAAATATTATCTTAACCCCTCTTGTACATATTATATATTATATAATATATTCCTACGAAATTTTTGAATGACATTCTAAGTGTTTACAATTAAAGTAATGAACTTTTTACCGATAATCAACTTTTTTCTGAAAATTTTAATATGAAATTATACATTTTATTACTATTATCATTTTAGGGAATTAGAGTGTTTTTCGGTGAAATTTACTTATTATTTATAAATTAACAACTGCGAATTTTTTTAAAAATATTGTCTGTTATATTAATTCGTTTTGTTTCAGTACTATTTGTACTGAAATAGAATGCATTTATATGAAAATATGAAAACAATTTGTTATTTTAACTTAAGTGTTGAAAAAAATATTTTTTTTGTTGTAATTTATCAACTTGCCTACATCAATAATATATGTATAAAAAGACAATAATTATATCATGTTTTTTCTCTTAATTTATATTCTTTAATTTTTATCATTATTTTTATTGTTATTATTTTAATTTTATAATTTAGTTTATCTTGTTCAAAATATTTATTAAAATATTATTTAGTTATTGTTTTTTTAAATTGTTTTATTAATAATACAAATATGTTTTATATTCTTTTAGAACTAAATTATAATTTTTTTCACTTTTCTATTAATTTTAATTTATTTTGTTCTATCAGAAAGAAAATGTGAGTTTTGTAAGATTTAATATGGCTTTTGTTCATAAAACCATTATTTTTTTTTATTCTAAAGACCAATTGTTGGCTAATGGACAGAATGTAATAAATCAGGGGCGGCCAAATGGTCGATCGCAGAAAATTTTAAACTTGATCATGTTAGAATTTATTTTTAGGAACACACCTGTGAAAATTAATCGAGGTTGTAGTGAACGAATTGTCGATAAGTTTAATCTGTATAATTAAAAATTTTTCTATGATAGTTGATCCTCAAATGTGAAGTATATTTTTAGTAGATTGTGACCAAAAAAAGTTTGGCAACCCCTGGAATAAATATTATACTCTATTCAAAATTAGAGTAGGCCAGCCTACTGAAAAAACTGGCACTGTTGTCACCTATACCAATAGTTAATTGATAATGATTGCCGACGTTTAATGTCTAATGACAAAGGGTATAGTAGTTGCCTAGTGGGTCGCACGGGTTTGGTGGCTCGATCTGTATGTGCGAGACTGGAATACTTTTAACCTGATTAGAGTATAGTTCAACATTTAATTTTGTCTAATATTCATACCATTGTATAATTTTACACTTTATCTCCTATATTTCAATAAATATTATCTTAACATAAACACTTAATTTGTTCATTCCAACACAAATATATGGTTTCTCTTAATATGAAAGTTCCTTAATTTATTTTTATTTATTTATTTTTTTAATTCAGATCTTTTCACTTGTACAACTGAAATACATCACCAATAATTCATATAGTGAATTTTTGTCATTTTAACACAGTATTGTGTCTTTTTATCCTCCCTAAGTATAATTTATTTTGGAGATTTTTCATTACAATTTTGTTATTGAAGTTAATTAAAAATATCAATTAAACATTATTTGGTTTTTGTATTCTATTTTTTGTTTCAAGTTGGGACCTAACATGATGCATCAACTAAAATATCATGATAATATTGTAGAACTAGTATATGACAAGCTCAACTTTAATGTAACTAATTATGATTTTAGCAAGCCTTATTTGTTACCTCTTTTTTAATTTATATACACAGATAATTGATTGATTATGTTCTGTTTATCATGTTTCAATATCATGAACTAATGTTAATTAAATCACATTTGTATGATTACTTATTAAGTTACAATATTTACATAAACACACACACACACACATATATATATATATATATATATACATATATTTATGTACCTATATTTTATTTTGTATTTATTTGTTTTATTTTAAATGAAAGCCTATTTATTATTTTAAGATATTAATATGACTGTATATGCAACTTATTATTTATACATACATTACATACCAACATAAGTACAGGGTACCTAAGAAAGCTAAAAAACTTTTGGAGTGTACAAATAACTAAATGTTTTCAACTATTCTAAAACCCTGTATGTATACTTAGAATGTTAAATAAAAAATAATCTGTTTTAAATATATTTAATGTTACAGTGTACTTATAAATATTGCTTAAGTTTCTTTTGAATCATGATTTTCATGTATATATACACTCCATTCCACGCTGTCATAATCCTTGTATAAATAATATACAATTATTAAAAAAAATTAAAATTGTTAATTCCTACAGAAAAAAAAAATAGAATTAGACATTACCATAATATGATAATATACAAAAACGATGTAAGACTATATTGCCTTGTTGAAATAAAATATTGTTGGTCATAATGTATTCTAATGTAAAAGGTTCTAAAATATTACAGTAATAATAACACTATTGTTGAACGGTTTGTCCAAATAGTATAATGTATTTTTTATAACTATTTGCTGCCTATTATTTATGGTAATATATTAGGTACTCCGTTCTATATTTTTAAAATAAAAAAATTTAAAGGTGTTTTAAATACTCTATTTAGTTACCTATCTAAATTTCTTTTTGGGAGCCTGTAGACTGTAACAACTATTGCATATTGAACTCATGGTAAAAATATGATTATGTTTTATTAGTGATTTGCCATATTTGTGTGATCTACAACAATAGTTTGTTTAGGTTATAATGCTGATAATATGTGAGCAGCAAATGTATAGACTGATACCAGTATTTCTGTTCTTAACAGAAATATAATATATTTCAAACTTAAGCTTACAATATTGTGAAGATTGTACAGTTGTGGTTAATTCTGCTTTTTAGGCAGTTTTGTTAAATAGGTAAAAGACAAGTTGTACATGGTATAAATGTATGTACCCTCTTTTAATATATTTATCTTAAAATATTTCTGATTAATATTTCTGACTAGTACTTCAAAATATCTATGATATTTTCTACATAACTAATTAATTATATTTTAAACTTAATAAATAGTAATAATATTTTCATTTATTTATTTAGTCTTATAAAAAGGGTGGTATGGTAGAAAAAAAGTCTATAAAGAAATTTATTTTATATATATTATAGGTTGATAATAATAAATGATAATTAATTACATAATCTTGAAAAAATATTCCTTTTTATTTTCAACCCATCTTAGCTAGAGACCCAGAGTGTTAATTTAATTGTTCACCATAAATTATACTTATCTGCATGAGCGATGGCGTTTTTTTTATTTTGTTTCACTGTTGAAATATTATGGTTTTTATTTTTTAAGTCATACCTATTATACAAATTTTACTCTGTACATATACGGTATACCAAGCTTTTAGTTAATAGTAAACAATTTAAAAAATCTTTAGAACCTTTTGCCTATAGATGTTTTTTAACCAATTATTTTTACACCTTCTGATTATTTAAATTTTTTCACTGCGCCTATCTGCTATTTTGGGAGATAATAGGCAAGGTTAGATTAAGATAAAATCTTATAATAGGCATGAGTTTCCAGGAGCCCTTAAATACTATTTTATTACATAATTAAACAAATTTGTTTACATGCATGCCATAAAATTAGCTATTACACTTATATCATCAAAATATTTAGAAGTTAAAATAGTGTTCAACAGCAACAGCATATAACATTTTTTTACAATTTTCTTGTTCTATCTTTTGGTGAGGCAAAATCATTAGGTGGGTAATTAATAAATCCATATTAAAAGATTTTAAAAGATATGCTTCAATATTTAATACAGCTAATGCATTAAGACTAACATTTGTCAGTGTTGATCTCATGTAATTTTTACTCTTTTTAGAATGGAAGATAGTGTCCAGTACAATTTGCAACATCAGTAGATACACAAAATATACAGTTACAACAGTGTCGTATTCCCCCCCCCCCCCCAAACAAAAAATTTGAAAATACGCTACTGGTTACAACATATTGACCTACACTACTTATCATTACTGCATTTAAATTTGGAAACAATTCTTCTACATTTTATCTTTGATAATTTTAAACATAAGACACGCTGGTGATACAGTACGATTTTCTAATGAATTTGTTAGTGTTAAAATAAACTCTAAAGTGTAAGCATTCAGCTTCGAGTACTTAGAATTTATATTGGTAGGTAGTTATGATGTCAATGGTATTACAAATTCTGTCATCACTTATGTTACCACTTACCATTTAACTAATCTAAATGTATGTACCTAATACGTTTAATGTTAACCAAAGCTGGTACCTAATCCATAAATATTATCTTTTCATTTGGATAGTCAGATGTAACAATCTAATCTAAATTTTTTTTATATCTTGACAAAAATCAGTTTTATTTCTAAAATTAGAGGTATTATTTGTTGCTCAAGTTTTATATATATAAGTAAATATAAATAAATTTTTTTCAAAATTATCCATATCAAATTCATTTTACCAACAAATATAAGTCATAACCCGTAATATTATTAAAAAACAGCTGATACCTATAGAACTAGGATTTTTATAGGTAGGTACTTAACACCAGGTGCTAAGGCTAACTACTGGTAGAATGTTTTAAAATTTGATATCTAATATTTGATTTTTGTTATTCTTAATTGTAAAAACTTTGCTCGATCCCTTCGTCTATAGTTTTGTAAGTTATTGGGTCTTAAATTTATTTTATTACAAATATCAAATAAAATTTGAATAAAACTAGAATTTTTATAAGTAGCCAGTAGGTAACATAATAGGCATAATGTGCTGGACTCTTATTTATTATACTCCAGCGATGAATGAATTGATTTTATAATGATGCGAGTTTATTTTTTGCATCGATACACATTTTTTCAAGGCCGTACCTGGGGGGGGGGTTCACCCCCCCCGGAATTTTTTCGTGTTGTATTATGTGGTAGTAAAATAACAATTTCAATCTAGAATAATCAATAAATATTGTACATTTAGGCTAAATAAATAAATATATTATGCTTGGTTTTTGTAGAGTATTTTGAATAACTATAAATATTACATCTAGAATATAGATAGGTTATTAATAGTAGAGCGATCTCCTGAAATACTTGAAACATTATCAAATTGTAACCAAACTTTAACTACGGCAACACCGGAAAGAACTTTTTCGACGCTGAAAGAATAAAAAATTACCTAAGAAATGCAACTGGAGAAGACCGATTGACCGGCCTAGCATTACCCAGTGTACATAGGAATATTCTTGTAGATCCGGAACAAGTAATTAATTGTTTTTCAAATGAAAAACAAAGAAATATAGAGTTTGTCATATAAACCATTTTACAAATTAAATGTATAGAATTAAGTTTAATAATTATTTTCAAATTTAGCAATAAAAATATTTAAATGTAAATTTCATTAATTTTTTTTTTATTCAAGTA